CTGAGCACGGAGCCCCGGGCCCTGCCGTGCACCCAGCTGGCTGGCCTCCCCACCCTCCCTTGGCCACAGATCACCTTCAACTTGGAAGGCTGGAAGGCGTGGTGGGTGCCCTTCCACAGCGCCCGGAGCAGCACGGCAAAGCCGATGGCGAGGCGCCCACCGGTCCCCAGCGGGTTGTTGTAGTTGATTTCGGCCTCGAAGGAGCGGTCTAGGGACAGCAGCGAGTGTGAACCGGGGAAGGGGGAGCCGGGGAAGGGGGAGCCAGGTCTGCGCGGGGCCGGGCCTGCCCTCACCGTGGAAGAAGTCCCGCAGTTCGCGGGTGTTGGACAGAGACTGGATGACGCTGTTCATGAAGCAGGTGTTGCCCAGGTTGACCAGCCCGGTGAAGCCCGGCAGGCACACCTTCTTCTCCTCCTCCTCCTCCTCCTCCACGCTGTCCCCACTCACGGGGCTGTGCGGCATGGGAGGCACCATGCACGTGGGCTTGGGCTGCGGAGCACAGTGGGGCGTGAGAGCAGCCCTAGAGGCTCCCAGCCTCCCCCCTCGCCCTCCCACCCGGGATCTCACTGAGGCCAAGTGTGGCTCTGGCTTGGGGGCTCCATGCTCCATGGGGGTGCGGGCCGCCACGCCATCCAGCCCTGTGTCCTCAGCTCGCGCCTTGGGCTTCTCCTTCTCCACAGCCCGGGCTTCCTCCTGGCCTGTCAGGGGGTGCGGAGCACCCCCTGGGGGGGTTGAGTCCAGAGGGGTTGGGCCTGTCGGCACGGCAACCTTTGCACCACCCACTGCACCTTAAAAAGGGGGAACGAGAGGGCTGGTGGTTAGCAGCACGTGGCGGGGCGGTCCCGTGGGTGCGGGCAGTGAAGGGAGCTCGTGGGCAGACCTCGTGCAGCCGGGGCCTCCAGGCCCCCCCAGCGCTGACTCTGCCGCTTCCGGAGGCAGATGTCGATGCGCGCGGCCGTGAAGCAGAAGGTGCACTGCTCGGGCTCGATCAGGTTCCTGCGGGAGAGGGTGAGCTCAGGGCCAGGGAGACGGAGCCCAGGGAGGGACGGCACAGGGCAGGGCCGGGCACCACCCACCTGAGCTTCACCTGCCAGCGGAAGACGGTGTGGGGCCCGCAGCCCGGGTGCAGCCTCAGGAAGTTCGTGTCCCTGCAGAGCCCAGCACGGGAGGGGGGGGGGGGGGGAGCGTGAGACACGGTCCCGCCCGAGGCCCACCGTCTGCCCGCGGCCGCCCGCCCACCTGGTCTGGAAGACGAGCGTGAAGTCCTGCTCGCGGAAGAGCACTCGCGAGGCCTCCCTGCGGACCTCCTTCACGTACACGTGCACCACCACCGCGTCAGGCCCCTTCTCGTACGAGTCGTTCTTGACAAACGCCAGGCTCACCATGGGTTCCGGCTCTACAGCGAGACCACGGCTCAGCGCCGCGACCGGCCCACCCGCCACTGTTCGATCCCTACCTGCCTGCCAACCTGGCAGCCCCCCAGGGCTCTGCCTGCCCCCCCAGCCCCACCTTTACCATCCACCAAGGATGCAGCGTCTGCTGCCACTGCCATCTCCTCTCTAGAACGGTCACCTTTCTCGGGGGCTCTGCTCCGGGTCAGGGCTGGAGAGACTGGGTCACTCCTGGGGGACGCTGCCTTCTCTCCTGCCAGAAGCGCTGGCTTCTCCTCCGAGCCCAGGAGGCAGGGCTGGGACTCCAGCGGTGGGACCCGGAGCGGCTCCTCAGCCCCCGCCTGTGCATGGCGTTTGTGGGCAAGATCAGCCCTGGGCCAGGCAGGCGCCCCTCCTCCCACCGCAGTCCACACCCTTCCCCCAGCTCCCAACTCCCACAGGGCACTCCACGCTCACCTGGGTGGCTGCCTCAGCCAGGAAGGGGGGGCCCTCGCCCTGGGGCCCAGGGCCTTCTCTGCATCCTTCCCCCTCTGGCCCTCTTCGGAGATGCACAGCCCTCTTGGCACTGGGCCCTGCCTGGGCCCCGGGGCCAGCCCCCGCCCCCACCTCACCACGGCCCTGGGCCCGCTTCTGGTTCCGGGCCTCCTGCTTTGCCCGGCGGGGCTCAGGGGCTGGCTCCAGGGCAATGGGAGAGGACTCCTGCCCGTTCTCCTGGCACCGCAGCCCTGGCCCCGACTCCTGCATCCCTAGAGGTTTCTTCTGTCAAAGATACAGCAGTCAGGTCCTGTCCACACCCTGGGTGCCCCCGGCCCGCCCGGCCCTGCCCTGGACTTACCAGGAGAGAAGGCCAGGTGAGCAGAGGCACCTTCTTGGGCAGCGCCAGCTGGAGGAGGCCACCTTTTCGAGCCTGCACTTTGGCGCGAGAATTTTCGATCTCGGCATAGAAAACACCGCCCCACTGCTGACCACCTGCAGAGAGCGCGGCGGTGAGCGGGGCGGGCAGGGATCACACACAGGGCCGGGCTCAGACCCGGACGCACCTGGAAACCGCACCAAGCAGTCTGTGTCTGTGAAAGCGGCGTCCACTTCCTCCAGCCGCAGGGGGCCCACTCCCGCGCGCAGCTTGACCGTCACCTCGTCCGCGTCCTGCTGCCAGTCGAGCAGCACCTCTGCGAGGAGAGGGCAGTCAGCCTGCGGCGGGCGGCAGGCTCAGGGGTTGAGTGCCAACCCCTGGACCAGGAGGTCGTGGTTTCGTTCTGGTCACAGCACACGCCTGCACTGCGGGCTGGATCCCCAGCACGGGGCTGCAGGAGGCAGCCATCGATGATTCTCTCATCACTGATGTTTCCTCTCTCTCTCTCCCTCTCCTTTCCTCCCTCTAAAATGAGTAAAAACGTATTTAAAACAGAGACAAGACAAAAGACTGTGAGGGTCGACAGATGAGGGCTGCACCCTCCGCCCCCCCCCCTTGCCCCTAGCGCTCTAGCACCCAAGGCAGCCCGTGACTCACCCTCTTTGGTCTGCTCCTCCTGGGGAGTGGACATGGACCCTGACGACGAAAGAGGAAAAGGATGAGAAAAACATAAATAAAAAAATTAAAAAAAAAAATGAGGAGGAAGGGGCAGCCCCCAAGACCCTGCCACCCCACCAAGCACCACTGTTAGGGTCTCAGCCCAGGACCCAGACCCCAGCTCGTCCCGAGTCGTCCTCTCGGCATCAGAGCAGGACAGAAGGGGCAGGACGCATGCTCACCAGGCAGGGAGGCGCCTGGGCATAGGCGGGGGCATTACCTCCTCTCCGAGGGTCTCCATCCTTGCTCTCCTGGTTTGCTCGGTCCTTCTGCTTCTTCTTGCTGGCGGCCTCCTCCAGCCCGGGGGGCCCTCTCCTGGGGCCCATGGCACTGGCCCCACCAGACATCTTGAGGCGCTTGCTCGACAGCCAGAGCGCCCCGGGGTCGGCGACGGCGACGGGGTCAGGGCTACGGCGCTTTCTTCCTGGCCCAGCTATCTTGGCAACTATTTGCGGCCAAATTCTCCAGCAAGGAAGTGACCACCCTACAGGAAGGGACCAGGTCTCGGCACCAAGGCCCAGCAGGCTGCTCCTGGTGGCAGCCAGGGCTTGGCAACCTGGCTCTCCCTAACCCCAGAGCAATCCCACCACCTGGCAGCCCAGACCCTCCCAGCGGCTCGGAAGGGGGAAAAAGGCAGGCAAGCAGGGCGCCCACTTCTGGCCGAGCCCCAGGGGGCCTGCTACCCAGACTGGCCCGCTGCACGAGGAGCTGCCAGGTCGAGGCAGCTGTGGCCTGGGACCCGGTGCCTCTACCGACCTGGAGGGGAGCCAAGGCCCAGCCCACAGGCCTCGCTTTCCCTTCCTTCTCACGGCTGCTTAGTCACCCCCGGGAAGGAGGAGGAGGAGGAGGAGGAGGGAGGCAGGACAGAAAGAGACAACCCGGCAGCGGGAGCAGCGGGAGCACCGGCTCCGCGGCTGAAAATGGACCCAGTCCGGGTGCTGCCGCTGCCCAGCCAGGGCCTGGGCTCCGACGCCCCACCGCGCCAGCTCCCTCCTCTGCACCCCTCCCGGCCCTGCTAGGGCCTCTCTCTCCATCCAAGGGGCCCGCACGGGGTGCGCGGGATCCAGACGTCAGCAGCAAAGGCCCGGGCGCGCAGGGCGAGATGGACACGGATCGCCGCCCCCCACCGCGCCCCGGTCTCCGGTCCATCCCCCGTCAGCCGAGCCAGAGACCGTCTGTCCAGTTCCCCGCGGGCCTACCCGGGAGCTCTGGGCTGTGCCTCCCCCCAAAACAAAGTTCTCCAGGCGGAGGAAGGGGTGCGGGGACTGCGTCCAGGCCCCTGGCTGCCCCCACCGGGGCTGAGCAGCAGCCGCCCCCGCGCACGTGGGGGCGACCTCACCCGATGGGTCCGAGGTGAGGCTGGGCGGCCGGTCGGACCTGCAGTGACCACCGGGCGCGGGCACCCCCGCCTCTGCGCCCCGGCCGCAGCCGAAGGTCGCAGCCCTCCCCGCCGGCCGCACCGGCGCCCGCCGCCGCCTCCAGGAAGTCGCCCCGCTCGCCCAGCCCTTTCGGGGGCAGGAGGCCGCCGCGGGCGCAGCGTAACTGCCCCGGCGTCGGGGGGCCCGGCGCGCCCGGGCGCGAGGGCGGGGTTGGCGCGACCCGTGACCTTGACCAGGCCGCCCCGGGCCCGTCGCGCCCTCTCCGCTACGGCCGGACCGGCGGGGAGCGGCCCGAACCACTCACCGGGCGAGGCCGCTGCCGCCAGCCCTCCTCGGGCCCTGGCAACCCGCTCTCGGTTCCGGTTCCGGCGTCAGGTCGGTTCCGGTTCCGGCGCGCTCCTCCCCCGCCCCGGCTCCCCCGCCACCGCCTCGGCTGCTTGTTTTGTTTCTACTTCGAGCGGCGGCCACCTGGGGCCGAGCGCGGAGCCCGTGACGCACTTCCGGCGGCGCGGGCACGCGGGCAGCTCCCGGCGGCCCGGAGGGGGCGGGGCTCCGGTGCCCTGGCCCCGCCCCGCCCCGCCCCGCCCCGCCCCGCCGGGGGCAGCCCCGAGGTCCCGCCCAGAGGCCCCGCCCTCCCCAAATCAGTCCAGACCAGGCCGAGGGGGTTCACACGGTTTATTGGGGGGCTGGCCGGCGGGCCGGTCACTGGCAGGTGTTGTAGATCTGGACCTGCAGGTTGATGTCGCGGAGCACGCTGCGCATCCTGGCCTCCAGCCCGTCCAGCTGCGCCGCCTTGCCCTCCAGCGCGCGCTCGTTCTCCTCGTAGGTGCCCTCCAGCTCTGAGAGAGGCGGGCCTCAGCCGCAGGTCCGCGCCCACGCGCCCCCACCCCGGCTCGGTGCCCGCCCGGTCCGGTCCTCACCCTGCAGCCGCTGCAGCTTGTCCTGAGCCGCTTGCAACAAGCCGCGAGCCTCATCCCGCAGCTGCTCTGCGCGCATCTGCGCAGCCAGCACGCCCTGGGCCTTGCGCTCCACCAGGGCCTTCACTGTCTGGTATTGGTCACCCAGTGGGCCCTGCAGCAGCTGGGGGTGTGGAGGGCAGGGGCAGGGTGGTGGCCCCGTGGAGACCCAGCCTCTGCCCTCCCCCCTGGCAGGCTCTGCCTCAGCCTACCTGCTCAGCCTCCCTGGCACGACCCTGGGCATTGCTTGCTGTTTCTTCGGCCCTGGAGGCCGCCAGGCTGTTCCCTGCTCGTTTCAATTTCAGAGCCTCCAGGAGGCCGTTCAGTTGCTGAGCCCGTTGCCCTGCAGAGCTCAGCGCCTGCTCTGCTCCCGCCATCCTCTCCTGCACCTGCCGTGGGGGGGCTCGGGTTAACCAGGTCTCAGAGGCGTGTCCGTCACCTGGCCCCACGCCCCGCGATGCCCCAGAGACCACACCTGGTGCAGGGTCTGTTCCGTGTCTTGCGTATCAACCACTGCCCCCTGGATCGCCCCCTGAGCGGCCCCCTGCGCCCGCTGGGCCTCCTCCAGTGCCGCCTGCACTGTCTCTGCCTTCTGCTTCTCACCTTCAGCCCGGCTCCTGCGGAACAGAGGGCATCAGGGCCTGCAGGATCAGGACCAGGTGCCAAGGATGGGGGTCAAGGTTGGGGTCAGACCGTGCCCGCTGCGCCTCCTGCAGCAGCCGTTCTGCCCGATGCACATCTCCCACAGTGCGCTCCAGGATCGTGTCCACGTCGGCCAGGCTCCGGACCCGCTCAGCGATCTCAGCAGCCAGGTGCTGGATCTGCTCAGGTGACGCTGGGATGGAGAGCTCCAGCACCCGGGTGGCCACCATCTCGATGCTGTCAGGGTCGGCCCCCTCCTCTGTGGGACACAGGCAGGGACTCAGGGACACCTTCCCAGCATGGGTACGGGACCAGTGTTGGGGATGGAGTCGGGACTGCGCGAGGGCTTTGGGTTTGCTAATGGCCAGAAGGATGGGACCACAAGGACACGGCCAACCAGCAGGCCACGGGGCTATATGTGGGCCCCAACTCGGGGCCACGGACTTGAGGGCCACAAAGGGCAAGAGCTCAGGGGCCAGACACAGGATCATGAACACAGGTCCCAATCCAAGTACGAACCCAGGGACACACGTATAAACACAGACACGGGGAAACGACCACGGGGCCTGGCCGTGTGGGAGGCTCACGGCTCAGGAAGTCCTTCACACTCTGGATGAGCTCACGCAGCTCCTGGTTGGCCTGCTCCACCTGGCCCCTGGAGGCGTTGGCCTTGTCCAGGGCCGCCTGGGCCCGCTGCTGGGCCTCGCCTGCCTGCCGACGGGTCTCTGCCACCTGGCTGAGGATGCCACCACCTTCTGCCAGGGCCCGCTGCAGCTCTGTCTGTGTGTGCCGGGCCCGACCCAGCGCCAGATCCGCCATGGCCACCGCCCCGTTGCAGCTGAGGCCCCCACAGCGGGGCTGCCCGTCCTCGTCCCGACACCCGGCACCCCCGCAGGGGCTCGTAGCACAGGGAGCATCGCCGGGAGCCCCGCACACCTGCCGGGCACAGGACAATCAGGGCCCGTGGAAGGAGCAGCCACCCGTGTCCCACCTCACACTCACGTGTCCCACCTCACACTCGCGCCTCACCAGTTCATTTATGCCCGTCAGGCTCAGGCCGTGGGCGCGGGCAGAGAGCTCCCCCAGTGCCTGCTGGTTGGCCATGTGCTTGCGGTTGAAGTCCTCCCTCTGGGCACCCATCAGCACCTCCGTTCGGTGCCGGGTGCCGGCGGAGTGGCTCACGGGGCTCGGCACGGCCAGGGCCGATGCGTTGGCACGGCGCCCTGCCTCTGCGGACAGGCTGTGGGCACGGCGGATGCTGTCATAGGCACCTACGTGGGCAGAGGCGGGAGTCAGCTGAAGGTCAGCCCTGGCCCCCGCACGGCTGGCCCATGCTCACCCAGGAAGTTGGAGTGCTTCAGCAGGTCCAGGTGCTGGTCGAGCTGCCGCAGCGTGAGATTAAGTGCCAGACTGTCTCGCTCCAGACTGCTTAGTGCGTGGTTGGCATTGAAGTTCTCATCCTGCACATCTGTCAGCTGTGTCTCCAGCTGGGTCAGGTGCTCGGTGGCCTCCCCGATCTGACGCCTGTGCCAGAGGGGAAGGAGGGGTTTGCGGAGGCTTCAGCCCCGGTCCCTGGGCCGCTGCCCCTCCCACCACCTATCTGGGCCCATCCGCACCGCAGCTCCTCCGTGGCCTCCAGGAGCCGTGCAGTGGAGGCGGCCGAGGTGTTGCGGGCAAGCACGATGCCCTGCACGGTGGCCAGCTTCTCCTGTATGTGCCGGAAGCTGCCCTCAAAGGCGCCCAGCACACCCGTCTGCTGCAGCTCCTTCGCCCTCTGCTCCAGGCGCCGGGTACGGGCAACCAGGTCCTGCACCACGCGGTCCCAGTCCCCAAAGCATGCGTGGCAGGGGTGGCAGGCAGGAAAGACCCCCGAGAAGCCCCGGGCACACTGGTCACAGCGCACGCCAGACACCCCCGGGCGGCAGCTGCAGTGGCCTGTGGCGCGATGACACTGAGGCGTGTCGATCCCACGAGGGTCGCAATCGCAGGCTGCAGGAGAGGGCGGACCACAGGGTTATCATGCGCCGGCGGGCATCCGGGAGGCCCCCGTCCACCCGGACCCAGTGGCCCCCTCACCGCGGCACTGCAACCCGGGGTCTCCCCAGTGAAGCTCCTGGCACTCAGAACAGGTCCGCCCCCCGAAGCCGGCTCGGCAGTGGCACTGCCCTGTGAACTAGAGTGGGGGCAGGGCAGCCGTCAGAGCCTCAACCAGAGGCTGAGCCCTGGAGACCTGAGGCGGCCGGCTGGTCCCACCCACCCAGGAGCCACAAGAGGTCCCGTACCTCATTGCAGGTGGGGCCTGTGGCTCGACTGGGGTGGCAGGCACAGGGCTGGCAGCCACGGCCACTGGTCAGATTCCAGAAGTTGGGGGCACAGCGGTCACAGCTCGCGCCCTGGACATTGGGGAGGCATGGGCACTGCCCACTGCTTGGGTCACAGTGGCACCGGTCCGTGGACGGACACTGCTGGGGATCTGTGCCCAGTGGGTTGCAGATGCAGCCTGTGCCAGCCAAGATGGACAGTAGTCAGGGGAGCCTGGGCAACGACCCCCCCCCCCCCGGCCACGCCTGCCCATCCCACACTCACGGCGACAGCTCTGCTGGGCAGCCTGCCCATGGAAGCCAGGCTGGCAGTGGGCACAGCGTGGGCCCTCCGTGTGGTGTAAGCAGCGCAGGCACTGCCCCGTGTGGGGGTCACAGGCGTCAGGGTCCGTGGGGTCAATGTTCCCGCTGCACTCACATGGCTGGCACCTGCCACCAGGCCTGGATGGGTCCCCAAAGTGCCCAGGGGCACAAGCCTCGCACCGCAGCCCTGCCCACAGTGAGGGGAGGCGTGAGTGTCCTGCCCAGCTGCCACACCGGCCCGCGCCTGCACCGCACCCACTCACCCGCGTAGCCCGCCCTGCAGTGGCACACGATCTGCTGGGAGTGCCCGTCCCGATGGCAAGAAGTCGCGAAGTGCCGCTGGCTCCCAGGGGCTTCGGGGCAGGGGCAGGGCCGGCACTGGCCCCCGTGTGGCAGCCGAGGGTCCCCGTGGAAGCCCGCGATGCACCTGCGTGGAGGGGCAGGGGGAGCTGTGTCGTTCCTGCGCAGCCCGCCGCCCGCCCCGGGGCTGCTCTGGCTCACCTTTCACAGTGGTCACCCCCCGTGTGGTCCCGGCAGCCCAGGCACGCGCCCGTGTGGGTGTCGCACTCGTCTGCGTGCCCGTTGCACACGCACGGCCGGCAGCTAGGGAACCCCCACTGGCCGTGCTGGCAGCGGTCGCAGCGAAGCCCGAAGGCCCCGGCTCGACAGGGGCACTGCCCGCTGGCGCCTTCACACAGGCCGCTGAGCGACCCCTCCGGGCTGCACTGGCAGGCTGGGGGCAAGGCAGGGCTGAGCCCGAGGGGCAGGGGCGTCTGGGCGGGGCGGGTGGGAAGGTCGGGGGATGCAGAGGACTGCAGGCAGGCGACCCAGGGCTGAGCCCTTGGGGTCGGCTGCAGAGGGGGGGGAAGGGAGAGGGAGAGCCAGCGACGGGGCTGAACTGTGGGTCCTGGGAAGGGGCAGGGAGGTACCTTGACAGCCGGCGGGGCCAAAGCCGTAGTAGCCAGGGGCGCAGCGGTCGCAGCGGCGGCCCACCACACCCGGCTTGCACCGGCACTGGCCCCCGTGGGGGTTGCACTCAGAACTCAGCGAGCCCTGGGGGTCGCACTGGCAGGCTGTGGGGAGGGGGTGCAGGGCCGAGTCAGACAGGCCCCCCACCTGCACCCCCCCACCACCACCAGCACAGACACTCACGCAGGGCGCCGTTGTAGAGCAGGGCAGACAGGCTGAGCAGGAGCGGGGCGCAGGCCTCTGAGGGAGGGGACTTGCTGGGCGCCAGGCCCTCCTCATGGCAGCGGTAGCGCTCGAAGGTGGCCCGGCGCTCCAGGGCGGCCGCGTCTCCCCCACTGAACATCTCCAGCACCAGGACCCGGGGCAGCAGCACCAGCTGCGGGGTGGGCAGGGCAGGGTGAGGTTGGGACCCAGGGCCATAAGGGTACCGCCTGCCAATCATTGAGGTGGCCCCGCACTGGCCGCCTCTTCTGCCCGACTCCTCCCATCCAGCCACCACGCCGGGTCCCTCCCACGGGGACTGCTCACCGAGTCAATGAGCAGGCTGGGGGGCTCGGGCTGGGCACGCCCCCCTGTTCTCAGCAGCTTCAGCTGCAGCTTGTACGAGACGCCAGGCTCCAGGCAGACAGGCCTGGGCAGCACCACGGACCTGGGGGCACGGAGGTCAGGCATGGGAGTCACCCAGGGTCCTGTACCCAGCACCCTGGGCCCCCCCACACACACACACACACAGCAGCCGACCACTGCCCAGGCCAGCAGACAGCTGGGCAGCCCGACCAGGATCCTGCATATCTTTCTCGCGGGGGTCACACGCCTGCGCAGAGCAGTCTGGCGAGAAGCACTCCCCACGACCCCGCCACCCCCAGTGGCCTCTTCACACTTGCCCTGACCTTGACCTCCACCACCAACCTCTGCTCTTCTTCACCAAGACGGCATCACCTCCCCTCGCCCCTCTCTCCTGGGTCACCCCCTCCAGCTGCAAACCACGCCAGGGCCCTTCTGCCCCTGCAGCCCTCCCGCACCCCTGGTGTCCCCCCGCTGATGCATGTCTTTGCTCTCCTGCCCAACAAAGTCCTGAAATTTTGCTACAGTCCTGCCTCCACGCTCTAGCTCCCATTCCAGTGGGGTTTCTGTCCCAACAGGCCTTCTCCCAGCACGAGGCAGGTCACCACTGACCTCCGGGAGCCAGCCCCGCAGCCACTGCTGCATCTTATCTGCTCACATTCAGCAGCGATGAGGTCAGCGCCCCTTCCTCCCAGACAGGCTCTCCTCGCCCTGCCCGGGACCTGCCTCACTCCTGACCCCCCTCCTCCCCAGTTCCTCCGCTGCTGCCTAACACGAGGGTCCCCCAAAGCCTGGCTCCGGGCTTCCTGCCTTCCTCTGGTGGGTTCATCTAAACCAGGGGTGGGCAAACTTTTTGACTCAAGGGCCACAATGGGTTCTTAAACTGGACCGGAGGGCCGGAACAAAAGCATGGATGGAGTGTTTGTGTGAACTAATATAAATTCAAAGTAAACATCATTACATAAAAGGGTACGGTCTTTTTTTTTTTAGTTTTATTCATTTCAAACGGGCCGGATCCGGCCCGCGGGCCGTACTTTGCCCACGGCTGATCTAAACCCATCTCTTCTTTTTTCTTAAATAAAATTTTTTTTATTGATTTCAGAGAGGAAGGAGAGGGAGAGAGAGAGAGAGAGAGAAACATCAGTGATGAGAGAGAATCGTCAACTGGCTGCCTCCTGCACACCCCACACGGGGATCGAGCTTACAACCCGGGCCTGTGCCCTGACTGGGAATCGAACTGAGACCTCCTGGCTCACAGGCCATGCTCAACCACGGTGGGTTTAGTGACATGTCCAAATGTATGCCTCCGACTTCAGCTCTCCCAGTAACTCCAGAAACCGAAACCCAACCACCCCTGGCCTAGTGCCGGTGTCTGAGATCTCAGAACTGCTCCTCCCATGTCTGCGCCTCAGTCCGCCCTCCCCCACCCGCTAAGCCTTCGGCTCTGCCGCTCGAACCCTCTCCTCTGCAGCCTTGCTCTTCTTGCCGCCTCGACTGCTCCGCCCGCCTCTGCCCGACCCCCGCTGCTCAGCCAGCCCAACAGCCCCGCGCCTCCCAGCGTCCACCGCGCCCTACGCCTCTTCTCCACGCAGCAGCGGGCGTCTTTGTGCGGCACAAGCCACGGTTGGCAAAATGTCTATAAGGGCTCAGGCAGGTTCATTATGCCGTTCTCTGCTTCGGTGTCTGTTTGAATATTTACATGACAAAATGTCTAAAAAGAAGTGATGAACAAGTAGACATGAAACAAACACCAACCAAAATGTAATAAGACAGCCCTGGCGTCGGCCTGCGGACCGAAGGGTCCCGGGTTCGATTCTGGTCCAGGGCACAGGCCTGGGTTGCGGGCTCGATTCCCAGTGCGGGGCGTGCAGGAGGCAGCCGATCAATGATTCTCTCTCATCACTGATGTCTCTCTCTCCCCCTCTCCCTTCCTCTCTGAAACCAATAAAATATATAAAACAAACAAACAAACGAAAAACCAACAAAATGTAAGGAGCCGGTAACCAGCTCAGGCGCAGCCGCGGGTGCTGAGTGTCCCTTCCCAGGGGCGACCCCGCTGGGTGAACGGCTTCCCTGCATCCCCATCTCGGCCGCAGGGACTGAGCGCCCCGCGGGGAGAGCTGACTTTGTTCTGCCCACTTCCTTCCTCTGACCGGGGCCATGCCCCACAGCCCCTGGCACAGCGCTCAGGAGGGGCAAGCGAAGGGCAGTGGGGGCTGCTCAGGTGCCCCGCGGGGGGCGGGGGGCCGGCCTCCAGCCCTCGCAGGGGCTGCCCTCAGGCCCTCACCTGGCGTCCGGTTGCAGCGTCCCTGAGATGAGGTCATCCTTGGGCAACACATGCCCACAGGGGCTGTGAGCAGACACGGGCCCCGGGCGCTGCACGGCCACCTCGAGCTCCGCCCACTGCTCGGGGACCTGGGGGACAGGACGGTGAAGGAGGTGCCCCTCCCGCGAGGCGCAGCTCCGGGCAGTGCCACGGGTCTGACCTGGGGCTCCAGGCGCAGCAGCAGGTCGTAGTCCATGGCTCTGGGCACGGAGGTCACGAGGAAGTCCAGCGCCTGGCCTGCCTGCAGCCTGGCGACGCCCAGGCCTGTCCAGGACGGGGCTCCCCCGGGGACGGCCAGGTGCTCCACCACAGCCACCTGCTGGAGACGCGGCTGTGGGGCTCCCTCTTCCGCCACAGCCTGTCACCAAGCCCCCGCGTGCGCAAGCGCTGCCCACACAAGGCGCCAGCGTCCCCCTGCCTCTCCGTGTCCTCCCTCCACCACTGCCCCCCACCTGGCCTCGCGCCTCCTCGGCCTCCAGCGTCATGTGGTCCAGGAAGGGCCGGAAGTAGCCAGATTGCACCTGGTCACAGCGGCGCCCCACCATGTGGGGGCGGCAGCGGCACTGGCCCGTGGCCTCGTTGCACCTACGAGCACAGCCATGAGTGACGAGTGACCCTGCCCCCCCTCCCCCCCCCCCCCCCCCCCCCGGCCCCTTAGCCGGCACTCACTGAGGATCCACGGCACCGCCCACGTCGCAGTCACAGGGACGGCAGCCGAGCATGTCGTGGCTCAGGCCCCAGTGGCCAGGCTGGGGAGAGGAGGTTGCTGGGGCCACAAACAGACCCCCTCGCCACCCACCAGGATTCCAATGATGGCTCAGCCCCTGCCCTTGCCTCCCGACCTGCCTCTTAGCCAGGACGGGACCGTCAGCTCTCAGCACTCCCGTGGGGCCTGGACACCACCCCTGCACCCTTGCTCTGCGGCCGAGTGCTGAGCCCCGACCCGCCCCTCAGGCGCACCAGGCAGCGGGTGCAGCTGTGTCCGGTCACCAGGCGCTTGCAGAAACAGGTTCCACTCTTGGGGTCACACGGGGTGGCCCCAGGCACCGTGCCCCGGGCATCGCACTGACACCCTGCAGGGGAAGGAGACCCGTCAGCGCTCTGGGGAGCTGGGGAGCACTGTGTGTTCAGGGGGGTCAAGAGTCAGAGGTCAAGGGTTAAGGTCAGCATGAGCAGGGCGGGGAGCACGTACGCTGGCAGCCCATGGGGTCGCTGGCACTGAGCCCAAAGTAGCCGTCACGGCACTGCTGGCAGCGGGGGCCCACCACGTGGTCTTTGCAGCGACACTGGCCTGAGACCAGCCCGAGAGCAGGGTCGTCGTGGGGATCACAGCGACCGCCGTCTCGGGAGCCCATGGGGTCACAATCACAGGCTGAGGGCACAGGAGGGCCAGGTCACCCCCTCCAAACCAGCCCAGCACCCATCATCTTCCACCTCCCCACCCCCCACCCGATTCCCAGTCTGGCTTCACCCTAGGCGCCCCCAACCCTGCCACCTGACAGCGGTCCAGCTCCCCAGCTCCCCAGCTCCCACCCGGCTCAGGTCCCGGCCTCCCCGTTCAGGCCCAGCCTCACGGCGGCAGGCAGCCGGGTCCCGCAGGTCCTTGGCGGGGTCCCGGTAGAAGAAGGGCCGGCAGAGCTCACAGTGGTGCCCAGCGGTGTTGTGCTGACATCCGTCGCACACGCCTCCACTCACGTTGCCAGATGCCAGGTACACGGCCATGTCAAAGTGGCAGCTGCGGGTGTGCCCATGGCACTCGCACTCTTGGGGGAGGGAGGAGAGGGCAGGCCTCTTGAGGGACCATGTCCCACGTGTGAGGGGCAGAAGAGGCCCTAGTGCCACCTCAGGTCCCTCCCAAGGCCAGGGGCTGAGGAGCACCACACTGGGCCCCTGCCCAGAGCAGATGGTCAGGTGGGCGAGGAAGTCCTTGGGGCATCGAGGCCCGGGTGCCCTCGGACACAGCCTGGGTGTTCCGGGCTTGCCCGTCAGCTCTGGGGTCTACCAGGCACAGCGGCCAGGCTTTCACTCACTCTTGCAGGCATGACTGTGGCCATCCTCGGCTGGACGCCAGGGCAGGTCGTGATAGAAATCCTGGCACTGCTCACAGTTGAGGCCACGCGTATTGTGTTTGCAGGTGCAGGCGCCATGGACCTAGGAGGGAGGCCGGGCACGCGGTCAGCACTGTCCAGCCGTGCCCGCAGCTGCCCTGCCCCCCGCCCCGCCCCCAGCCAGCGGAGCCCCTCACCATGCCCTCCGTGTGGGCCTGTGCCCCTGGGGCGGGCGCACACTGCGAGGCGTGTCCGTAGCAGAAGCAGTTGCCACGCACAACCAGCTCGTAGAGGGCGTAGTAGTACTTCTCCCGGATCTCGCGCCGCGGATCCAGCAGGTTGTCGCCCAGCGTGTGCAGCCGTGTCAGGTTCACCCGCAGGTTGGTGATCTTCAGCAGGTCTGAGTGGGGAAGGGCGGGGCCAGCTGGCCAGGCAGGCTTCCCCAGGGGTGGCAGCCAAGGTCACCTTGGGAGACCTCCTGTCTGCTGTGCTAGGAGCTAAATCTGACCTGGCACCTGCCCTAGGAAGCGCCCAAAATAGCTACCGAGGCCCCAAATAGCCCCCAGCCAGACACTCACTCTGGATCCGCGGGCTGTAGGGGTCTGGGATGGGGATGGCGGGGTCCAGCACTCGGTAGATGACCTGGAGGGGCGCGGAGTCAGCAGAGGCCGGACCTGCCCCCAGACCCGTCCCCCTCCCGGTGCCCCTCCCGGTGCCAGCCGGACCCCGCACCTCGCCTTCAGTGGATGGCTCGATCTCCGCGTAGCGTGACTCACAGACGACGTCATCCCAGTGCCGTGGGGGGGCCAGCGGGACGCCCGGGAAGTCGGCTGCACAGTCATAGGAGAAATACCGGTACACGTGCCAGGTGCGTCCGAAGTCTGCTGAGCGCTCCACCAGCATGGCGGCCGGGCGGAATGTCTGGGGGCAGGGATGGCTGATCAGAGGGCCCCAGGACCCGGGTCCAGCCCAGGCCCATCAAGAGCTCTGCCCGACTGGGCCCTGCCCTCAAGCAGCCCACAGATGGGTGGGGAAGACCAGAGGGAGCCAAGCAACGACCAGCGAGGGTAACCACCTCGAGGGTGTCGGCTCAGGGGCCGTGGGGCCCAGGGAGGCAGCGCCAGGCCCAGCCTGGGGTCAGGGCAGCATGGCGGCGGAAGGCAATGGAAGGTGTGAGATGAAGGCGCCTCCCATGTGGCCAGAGCGCAGCATCTGAGCTCAGGGGGGCTGGGGCTGGGGCTGGGGCTGGGGCGAAGGCGAGCCCAGCAGGGGCTGGAGCCCGCTCCCAGGCATGCCGGCACCTTGAAGGTCATGATGAGGTGTGTGAAATGGAACTCAGCCTCCAAGTCCAGTTGGATGGTGACCGCAGGGACACCTGGGCAGGAGGCGGAGGTCAGGGGCCAAGGCCACTGGTGGGCAGCCCTGCCCGCCCGTGCCCGCCCGTGGCCGTGGCCTCACCGTTCTCTGACTGCCACCAGGCGGCCCGCCGCTGCGGGGCGAAGCTGGTCACCACGTTCTGGATGCGGTGGCTGTCCGGGTTGTCTCTGGCGGAGTAGGGCCGCCGGGAGTCGCACAGGAAGCACTTCTTCTCGTCCTGGGTTGGGTCGGGGTCAGGGTCAGGGTCAGGGTCTCACCTCATCGGCGCCAGCCCCACAGGGACTCGGGCCCCAGCCCAACCCCCGCGGCACCTGCAGGTGACTGACGATGCAGTAGGGCTGGGGGCCGTGCAAGCCGCAGGTGGAGGAGGCCGTCAGCCGGTCCGCGCGGCCCACCAGCAGGTCCCCCGTGGCAGGGTAGCAGCTGCCCCGAGAGCAGCCCGGCACGTCTGGGACTGGGGCCTGGGCCAGGGAGGTGGCCAGCACTGGGAACAGGGGGCAGCCTGTTGCCCGGTGCTCCCCGGCGGTGGCCCCAGGGCTGGCCCCCCCGCCCCGCCATCCCATCCCCAAACCCCAGCCTTCACCGGCCTTCTCACCGCCCAGCAGCAGGCCCACGCCGAGCTCCCAGGGCCCCGGCTGTCCCCGCGGGTCCCCGCCTCGGTTCCCTGCGGCCCACTCCATCCTGGGGAGCAGGGGCGTCGGTGTGAGAGGTCTGGGGCCGAGCCGCCCGCACCCTCCCCCGAGGCCCCTGCTGACCCTGCCCGTGAGGGTCCGCGGCTGAGTGTCCACTCGGTCAGGTCCGGCGGTCCCTCCACTGGGCTGGGAGTCTGGCGACTTTGAGCAAAGTTGGGAACCACGGCAGGAAGGAAAGCCTGGAGCGGATCTCGGGCAGGACTGCAACCCCGTGCAGAGGTTCCCGCCCCCACCCTCCCCCGCCCCCCCTCTGAAAAGGACCCTCATTCTAGAAACCAGGCCCAGGTCAGCTCAGCTGCAAATTTTTATTGAGTCCTGATGCCCAGATCTCGGCAGTGCAAGGGGGAAGAGGGGGGCTGGGGCTTTAGGCCACCGTGGTCTGGTCAGGGGGCGCACCGAGGGCCACGGCGCGAGCCAAGGCTCGGAGTCTGGTCTGTGAGACTTCACGTTTGAACGGCCCCTGGAACCTGGCCTTTGTCCGCAGGGTCATGGCCACCTAGGTGGAGGTCAACAGCAGCTAGGCCTTGGGACCCAGGGCTCCAGCATCAGCGGAGAGCGGGAGGGCGTCCAGCCCCCGGCTCAGGAAGGTGGGCAGCTTAGGATGCTGGCCGGAGGGGGCGGGTGGGAGAGAGGCCGCTGGGTCCAGGGCCTCCGGCTCCCTGGCCACTAAAGCAGGTCGCACGGGAAGTGCAGTCTCCGTCGCATGGAAATGGGTGCTGGGTGGCCACAACAGACCGACCGGACCGGAGAGGCAGCGAGCGGTCCAGATCTTATGGCCGCGCGTCCGCTCCGGACCTTCCAGCTTGCCGGGAGCTGAATTCGGCTGGAATGCGCTGCGAGCTGCCCCACCCAGGCTCCAGGGACCAGGACTGGGACCTCAGCTCCCCGGGGGGCTCTGAGGGGCCAGATGGGGAGGGGCCGGGAGCCGGGGGTCCAGGAAAGAAAGCTGGGGTTCTCGGGGGGACCCCCAGGCTTTCCCAAGGGAGTCTGGGCTGGAGGCCAGTCAGTGTGGAGCAGGGGTCTCCCACCTCCCGGCATCCCCAGAGCCAACCTGGGGGCTCGGGACACTAAGGTGACCACGGATCGGTCAGGGGCAGGGGCCTCGATGGCCTCGGGGATTTTCCATGGTCTCTCAGGTTTCTCCCAGGCAGAGGGCCGCTGAGGACATCAGGGGTCACATGAGGGTCACCCAGTGGTGTCTGCAGCCCCTTGAGTCCCCCAGGCAGGCCCAGAGCCCCCCCCTTGGCACCCAGGAGGCCGTCAGCAGGTGGTGTGGGCGGTGGCCGGCAGCCGCAGGTGCTCCAGCAGCGCTGCTGCCCGCCGCTCCAGGGCCCCCAGTGTGGCCACCCTCTTGCCCAGGGTCTGCTCATTCTGCACCAGGCGGCGCTCCAGCCCTGGGGACGGGTCCCCTGAGCCAGGGGCCTCTGGCCCTAGTCTCCCTCTCTGCCCGTCTCTGCCATGACCCTGACCCCCGGCCCCATCCCTAAAAGTTCTAACCCTGATCTACATTTGACCTCCTGTTCTGAACTTTGACCCAGCCTCATCACTAGATGAATCTGACCCTGACTCCACCCCGGCCCACCCATGGCGGCCCCGACACGCACCCTCCAGGCGGCTCCAGCGGGCCTGCACCCACGTTAGCAGCTCCTGGGCCTCGGCGTGTGTCCGCTGCACCCTCTCCCCTGCACCCCGCACTGTGGCCAGCCGGCTGCGCGTGCCGTCCTGCAACTCCACCACACCTGCCCGGGCCGCCTGCAGCTCCCGGAGCAGGGCTGGACCTGAACCCCCCCACCTGGACCCAGACGCACGGCAGCCCCCGTCCCCGTCCCCGGGGCGCGGGGTTTTAGAGCTGAGACCCCACCTCAGCCCAGCAAAGCCCAGTCCCAGCCCAAACCCCACTTCACACTGTGCCGGGCGTCCTGACACCCCAATGTCCACTGCTCCCGTCTCACCTTGCCCAGGCCCCCAGCCAAGCCCAGGGCACGTGCTGCCCGCTCTTCTGCCTCCTGGGCCTGCTGCTGGCACAGGGCCACACGGGTCCTGAGAGCCACAGCTGCACTGGACAGAAGCCCCGGGTCCGGGGTCACATCCGCTGCCAGCGTCATCTGGGCCAGGCGCCCCGCCACCTGGAGCAAAGGTCAGGGGGTCACAGGGAGGTCACAGCAGGGCAGCAACTCAGTGGAGTGTTCACATGGTCAGGGTGTTTGGTAGCTTCATGGTATCATGTGGGTCAAGGACCTCGGGGGACAATGGGACCAGTGGCCCCTAAACAAGGGGTGCCGAGCGGTACAGGGGGGTATCACCTTTTATACACTGGCCTCCAGGCCTCCAAGTGTCCGTCTGGCCGCCTGCAGCCCTTGCTCTGCAGCCCTGGTGTGAGCTCCCGCCTCAGCCAGCACCCCCTGAACGCCCTGCGCTCGGCCCTGGGCCCTGGCAGTACCTTCCCTGAAAGGTGCGGGTGATCAGAGGGCAGCCCTTCCCCCCACCCTCTGGCCGCCACCTCCAGCTCCTGGCCCTTCACCTGGTCTGCTGTGCCTGGTGGAGGACACGGTCAGCCGTGGGCAGCTCCTGGCCTCCAGCGCCCAGTGCAGGGAGGGCCTTCTGGGCCTGATCCAGCAGGAGGGCGATGCCCACGGCCTCACCCTGGGGGCAGGGCACTGCCAGCCCTAGCCGTGCCGCCAGCTCCACACTCGCAGCATCCGCACCTTCATCTGTGGGGGTCGGTGTGGGGATGTTGGTTGTGAACTCTGATCCCTGACCCCACGGACCCTGACCCCAACATCTCACGGACTCTGACATGACTGCACGGTATGCTAGAGGCTAACAACAGGCAAGTATGACATTTGCGGGAATTTTGTGAATCAGTTGTTAAATGGCAGGTATCCCAGTGGGTGGCTCAGTGGTTGACCGTCAACCTATGAACCAGGAGGTCAGGGCATATGCCTGGGTTGGGGGCTCCATCCCCAGTGTGGGGCGTCCAGGGGGCAGCCGATCAATGATTTTCTCTCATCATTGATGTCATCTCTCTCCCCCTCTCCCTTTCTCTCTGAAATCGATAAAAAATAAAAATAACCAAAACCGGTTTGGCTCAGTGGATAAAGTGTCGGCCTGCAGACTGAAGGGTCCCAGGTTCGATTCCGGTCAAGGGCATGTACTTTGGTTGCGGGCACGTCCCCAGTAGGAGGTGTGCAGGAGGCAGCTGATCGATGTTTCTCTCTCATCGATGTTTCTAACTCTCTATCCCTCTCCCTTCCTCTCTGTAAAAAATCAATAAAATATATAAAATAATAATAATAATTTAAAATAATAATAAACAGATGGTAGGTAGACTGCCATCTGCGGTGGTGGGGTCACTCACACCATGGACACTGACAAGCACTCCATCAGCTCCCCAGACCCACAGCCAGCCGTCAGCATCCCCAGCACCCCCTACCCCCTCACCCCTGCCCCCCTCACCCCTGCCCACCTCACCCCTGCCTCCCTCACACCCTGCCCCCTCACACCCTGCCCCCTCACACCCTGCCCCCTCACACCCTGCCCCCCTCACACCCTGTCCCCTCACACCCCTGCCCCACCCGACCCGTCAGCCTCAGCCCTCTGGGTAGTCCTCATTCTGGAAGGAGTGTCACAGCAGTGACCTGAACGCCCCTGCCTTGACCTCGGCTAGGAACAGACGCACAAGCAGACATGTACCCAAGAGGAAACGCTGGATCCTATGCATAGTTGCTTGCACAGGGGCCAGGGTGGCCACACCCCAGGCACCCCTTGCACGATGCCATGTCTCCCGGGCCTGGATTCCCGTGGAGCTTGCTGTGGCCTGGATGTGCTGCAGCTGGTAGGGGCGGGTTGGAGGTGAAACGTGTCCCCTGTAACTCAAGGGCCAGGCTGTGCTCCCCCGTCCCCCCCACCCCACCCCAGGGCCCCTATAGCTCTGTACCAGCTGCCGCTGCTGCGCCGAGGCTGTGCCGGCTTGGTGCCGGCTAGAGGAGGTGTTGTGGGAGATGGCCGGAGCCCACCCGGCAGCGGGCAGAGTCCCAGGGCACGGGGGCACGGCGCAGGGCACAGGAACACAGGCCAGCCCAGGGCCCAGGCCCCTGCATTCCTGCCGACAGACAGGAGATCCACGATGCTCATCCCAGACTCCTCCCGGCCTCTCCCAGGGCACCCCTAGGAGGGGGCCTGGCCTTGGCCAGCCCCGCCGGGACCCACACCTCCACCCCCCACTCCAGCTGTGACAGGAGTCTCAGGGGCGGTGGGTGCAGCATCTGGACCTGGTCGACCAGCCCCTTCAGTTTCAGCTCCTGCTCAGCTGGACCTCTAGGCTGGCCCGTACCCCGTAGAACCGCTCTGTCCACTGCTGGGCCTCGCAGGCCTGTCCCAGGATGCGGTCCGGTCCTCCAAGTGTGGCCACGGCCTGGGCCCCACGCACGGCCTCCTGGGAAAGCAGGGCAGCTGAGGAGGCCTGGGCCACAGCCTCTGCAGAAGACGGGAGGGAGGGGAGGAGGGTGGCTTAGCGCCACAGAGGCAAGGGCACCTGGTCCCTCCTCCTGACCCAGCCCGCCCCTGCCTCACCTGCTGTCCACACACCTGCCCAGCTGGCCTCACCTTGGACTCCTGGGGCCCCCTTAGGCCAGGCCACGCCCTTGACACAGTCTAGCTGCCAGCACAGTTCTTCCCGCCGCTCATGCTGCCTCCTCAGCCAGGGCTCACTTTCGGCCACAGCCTGTCCCGGGGCCCACAGCGTCTGGGCCAGTGCAGCCACCTCTGTCATGCGGGAGTTCAGAGCACCAGCATGGCTGACGAGGTCCTCCCCACGACCCTCACTCGGGAGCCCCCCGACTCCCAGACCCAGGGCCCCCACAGGCCAGCCTGTGGCCGGCAGGACCCCTGACCCTGGGCACCTTGCTGGAGACCCCTCCCCTGCTGACCCCGACCCCTTGCCTGAGTCCAGCCGTGCACACTGTCAGCGGCCACAGGGCCCCCGCCGCGGGTACAGGAGATTCCAGGAGCGTCTGTGCCAGCTGGAGGACCCGCTCCAGGGCCTGCTGGGGTCCGCCCAGACCCCTAGCACCCCAGCCAGGCGCCCCCTGGCGTAGGGCAGCCGCCTCCTGGGCCACAGCCTCCAGCCGCAGCCGGAGCAGAGCCAGGCGCTGGTCCCAGGAGGTGAAACAGGCCGGGCAGGGCAAGCAGTGTGGGAAGGCACCTCGGGAGCCACGGGCACACGCCTGGCAGCTCGGCCCGGAGACGCCCTCTCTGCAGAGGCAGGCCCCTGTGTAGGGGTCGCAGCGGGCAAGAGGGAGCCCTGAGGGTCGCAGGCACAGGCTGGGGCGGAGACACAGGGTCAGCAGGTCAGGGCAGCACTCAGCCTCCAGGAGCAGCCCCGGGAGAGGGCGGCCCTGCGGGAGGGTGAGGGTGCTCGTGAGCCACTGCGCAGCCTGCCACAACCCTGCCCTCTGCCCTCTGCCCTCTGCCCTCTGCCCTGGCCAGAGCCGCTGCACGGCAGCCTTTGAGCAGGAAAGCAGCACCAGGAGCAGGCGCGACAGCCGGGCAGGGGTCGCCTGGGGCCAAGGACTGGCAGGCAGGGCAAGAAAGAGCCACCCAATGTGTCCTTTCTGTAGGTGGACCTGCCTAGTTTTCTAAAATATATTTGTATTGATTTCAGGGAGGAAGGGAGAGAGGGAGAGAAACATCAGTGATGGGAGAGAATCATGGACCGGCTGCCTCCTGCACGCCCCCCACTGGGGATGGAGCCCACAACCCGAGCCTGTGCCCAGACCGGGAATCGAACCGTGACCTCCTGGTTCCTAGGTCGACGCTCAGCCACGGAGCCCCGCCGGCCGGGCACCCCACGAGGTTTTGCCAACACTTTCCCTGCTGCCTTCACAGGCACTTCCTGAAGTTTCGGGGAGCGGCACTAAGCAACGCGGTCTCCCAGGAAACCCCAGTGCCCTGCTATCCACACTGAGGGCTCCGCAGGGCAGCCTCGGCCCTCACCTCTGCACTCCTGCTCAGGGTCACCCCAGGACCCATCCTCACACCGGGAGCTCGTGCGGCCCCCAAATCCTGGCCGGCAGGGGCACTGACCCGTGACCTGAGGGGAGAGGCCGGTCAGCAGAGGCCGGGAGGGGAGGACAGAGCGCTCAGAGGCGCCCCCTCTCCTGGCTCCATCTCCCCTGCCAGCCCTGCTCCTGTGCAGGCAGCACCCCCTGCCTGGACCCAGGGCACCTCCCTTCCTGCTTCCTCGGGCCTGAGCCCTTGGCCAGCCCTCCCTTCCCATACGGCCAGCCTCGCCTCCCACGGCCTCTCTGAGCTCCCGGCTCCTGGCCTGCTGCCCCTGACCCCCGTGTCCTGCGTCGAACACCCCTGTCCATACCGTCTCCGCCTCCTTCCCGAGGACGCAGGACACACTGAGGCCTCATCACACTTGCGCGTCAGCGGCTGCCTCTCTCCTCCGGACACACACTCCCACCTCCTGCTCCGCTGCAGCCTCAGTCCTGTGCCCTCGGCCTCCTTCCCAACCTCCCCCCTCCGCCCTCCCACGCTCATTCCGTGGACCATGACCCCTCACGGTGGCTCACCCACTCGCCAAGCAGGGTGCCCACGGGGTCGGGCACATGCAGCTCATGGCGGCTCTCCCAGGCCCGACCCCCGCTCACAGTTACTATCACACTCACACAGCGGCTGGCAGCACACACACCGGGGCTGGGGGTCACGTGAACACCGCCGGGGGCACACACACACTCACACAGCGGCTGGCAGCACACACACCGGGGCTGGCGGTCACGTGAACACCGCCGGGGGCACACACACACTCACACCGGGCACTGCCACATACTGTAGGGTCACTCACTGGGTGGCACACCGGCTGTAGAGTGTGTTGGGCATGGCAGCTGCAGGGCTCGCAGCCCCGAGGCCCCCCCAGGTTCCAGAAGAGGGGGGCACAGCGGCTACAGTCCCGCCCCAGAGTGTGGGGGCGGCAGGGGCACTGCCCGCTAACCTGGTCGCAGAAGCAGGCCTCGGCCCCGGACGGGCACCGCACGGGGACGGTGCCCCGGGGGTCACAGCGGCAGCCTGGGGAGAGGGCGGCCTTGGCAGGGACGGAGGGAAGAACCCGCCCACCACCTGGGGCCGCCCTCGCCCCACACCACACACTCACGCCGGCAGCCCCCCGGGCGCAGGGCACTGCCGTGGAAGCCGGGCCGGCAGTGGGCACAGCTGGGGCCATGGCTGTGGTGCAGACATTGCTGGCAGCGCCCACTGTGCGGGCCGCGGGGATCGATGTTGTTGTTGCACTGGCAGGGCCGGCACGGGCTCCTCCCGGGGTCCTCCGGGGGCCACGGGCACCCAAAGTAGCCAGAGGCGCAGCAGTCACAGCGGGGCCCTGGAGAGCGGGTTCGCGTGGGTCGCCTCAGGTGTCTTCCTGCACCTTGGGGGCTTTGGGTCCCTCATTCCCAGAAAGTCCAAGGTGTAGCCAGGAGGGCGGAGGGTACACTCGCTGCATTAAGGCCCGCCTCCTGGCTGACAAGTCCATGCCTGCAATTCCTCCCATGGACCCTCCCTCCCCCGCGGGACCCCTGCAGGAGGTGCCCAGCCCGCAGCTCACCCTGCAGGTGGCAGGGCACAGATCAGCCTCCAGCCTCACGGGATTATGAACAAGTGAGCAGGCCCTGGGCCTGCCGCCCGCCCGCGCCTCACCTGCGTAGCCAGGCCCGCAGAGGCACAGGACACGGCTACTCGTGCTGGCCACATGGCAGGACGTCCGTGATAGAAGCCAGAGCCAGGGCGCCCGGGGCAGAGGCAGGGCTGGCACCGCTGGCCTGAGCCCAGGGCGGGGCCTCCATAGTACCGTCCAGGCACTTGGGGGCAGCAGCAAATGGTGGCCTGGCCGCTCCTCCCGGCCCCTCCCCACGCTCCCGGCAGCACTCACCTCTCACAGTGCCAGCCTGCCGTGGCTCCAAGGCACACCTGGCAGGCGCCGGTCAGCAGGTGGCACGTCTCAGTGTGCCCATTGCAGGCACAGGGCTGGCAGCGGGGAAGCCCCAGCGGCCCCGGAGGCAGCGGTCACAGCGGCGACCAGCCAGGCCTGCCCGGCAGGGGCACTGCCCGCTCCTCGGGTCACAGGCGGCGCTGGTGGCGCCCTTGGAGTGGCAGCCACACTCTGTGGGAACGACAGGGACATCGGGCCGTGCAGGCAGGAGCGTTGTGGGCCCAGCCTGCGCTGCGGCCCCGAGCTCACCTCTGCAGCCGCCAGGGCCGAAGCCGTAGGTTCCAGGCACGCAGCGGTCACAGGTCCGGCCGGTGACGTTAGGACGGCAGCGGCACTGCCCGCCCAGCAGGGCACACTTGGCACTCAGGGAGCCCTGGGGGTGGCACTCACATGCTGGCAGGAGGAAGGGCAAGGTCAGGTGACCCTCCGGGTGCCTCCGACGCCCTTCCTGCAGCCCCGAGGGGCACACTCACGGAGCAGGGCCGAGATGCTGCACGCGAGGCGGGCGCAGGTCGAAGGCCAGAGCTGGAGCGGCCTGTCCTCGCGGCCTCCAGGCAGCCGGCCGCGTGGAGCTCCTGCAGGCGCCCTACGGCCCCAGGGTCCACCAGTCGCAGCCCAGGCAGCTCCCTCACCCTGGGCAGGAGCACAATCTGGTAGGAGGGTGGAGGGTGGGGGTGGAGGTGGCAGGCAGGGGACAATGAGCCCAGCCCCTCACTAGTGTCTGCTACCCACTCCCCTGCCTCGCACTGGCCCTCACGGTCCTCCTGCCCCTTTCCCGCGTCTCAGTCCGCGTCTCCTTCCTCCCCGATGGCCCAGCAGTCCAAGCAGCACCACCTCTCACTCAGAATCACGGCGGCAGCCTCCCCCCAGCCATCCCTTCTCCCCCCGCTCCTCTTTGCTGAGTCCTTCCTGGCTCCCCACTCTCCCGGGGCAGAGGTCAAGCCCCTCTCCTGGCTACACGGTCCCGCGAGGTCTGGCGTTGGCCTGTTCTCACCTTCTGTCCTCAGAACGTGGCTTTCCCGCTGGACCCCCTCCTCCACTCTCCACCTGTCTCAGTCCAGGCACAACCCCGGCCTCGCGCCCCCTGTCCCTCATTGTCTGTATAACTCGTGTTTCCCCCAGATGTGGGCGGGGCCCCCAGGATCTCACCGAATCCAGAAGGATGATGCCCCCCTCAGGCTTTCGCACCCCTTTGGTCCGCCATAGCCGCAGGGTCACGGAGGAGCGTGTGCCCGGCTCAAAGCAGAAAGGTCTAGGTAGAACCACAGCTCTGCGGGCGAGGGAGAGAGAAGGGTCGGGGAAGGAGGGCATGATCGAGTGGGTACAGCCGGGCTATGACCTTGACCTTGACCATTTCCACTGTGCAGGGATTGGAGCCAACATTTCACTGCAGGACCAATGGGGAAGACCAGCTTCCCAGCTGCTGCTCTGTTTTAAGTTAAATTAAGTCCCTGTTTCTATTGCTCGACAATGCGATGATGTGGGGATGACACTGGGATTTTCCACTCTGTCTGGGAGGCTATTTCAAACGTGTGGGCAGCATAACAGGGCTTGGTGTTGGGAGTCCCCAAGCCCTGCCTACCTGTGTGTGTGGGTCGGGTGGCCTGGAACAGCTGCTCTGGGGGCAGTGGGTGGGCACAGCAAGTGCTGCTGGGCAGAGACTGGGCGCGGACCCTGACTAATGCCTGCCAGTCTTCAGGTGCCTACGGTCAGCGGTCAGTGGTCATAGAACTGCCCCTACCCACCTCCCAGCACCACCCACCACCTCGCCACCGACCTGGATCTCAGCGCAGGACAATGTCATACTTCAGGGCACGAGGCACCGTGGGAGCCAGCAGAGAGAGGCTGGCCCCATCGACCACACGTGCGAAGCCAGAGCCAGGCCACGGGGGGGGGGGGGGGGGGGGGTGTGGAGCTACTAGGTGCACGGCCCTGGGCTCCTGGGGGGCCTGGGTAGGACACACAGACTCCCATGCCCAGGCCCCCCAGGACCTAGAACCCTCAGGACTTGGGTTCCCTTCCCCCAAGACCCCAGAGACCCAAACCCAGGGCTTGGGCCCCTTCCCCAGGAGACCCTGGGGCCTGGGGGCTCTACCCTGCTCCGCAGACTCCTCCCTCTGGGCAGCTGGCAGTGGGAGCGGGCTCGCCCGTCAGGCTGCAGGGTGCACCGAGGGTCACGCTGTCTCTGCAGTCTGGACAGGAGTCGGCCTGGGGAGGCCCCTGAGGCTGGTGCACAGTGGGGAAGAACAGGCCTGGGGGCAAGTGGGGGATCAGTGTCTCCCAGCATTCCGGCCCTGTCCTCTGCCACACTGTCCTGGGAATACGGGCTCCAAAGACACCAAACCTCCGACATGCTGACACCCCCACTTCCTCACCGTCCAGCCTTGCCAGCCTCTTCCTCCAACCACCTCTCTCTGGATATGCCCCCCGCCACCCCAGCCCTAAGGTCTGAGCCTGGATTCCCTCCTGCCCCCACCCCCCTGAACACTCACAGGCAGCCAAGGGTCAGCTGGCTGGAGGCCCTGGCCGAGCTCGGCTTCGGCGACAGCCTGGTCGAGGGCAGCGAAAAGTACCCAGACTGGGGCTCCTGGCAGCGGCGGCCGCGGAGATGGGGGCGGCACAGGCAGAGGCCCTCCCGAGTACCTGAGTGTGCGTGGGGCGGGGCGGGGACAGAATCAACACCCGGTTCTTGCCACTTGACCCCCACTCCGAGTCTCGGCCTTGTACCTGTTGCTGTAGGCATCCCCAAAGTCACAGTCACAGGGCCGGCAGCCTAGAGCGTCACTGCTCAGACCCCAGAACTCGGGCTGTAAGAGAGAGGGGTGGTGGAGGAAAGACAGGAAGAGCTGGACAGGGTTAGCGTTAGCGTTAGGGTTAGGGTTAGGGTCAGGGTCAGGGTCAGCGTTAGGGTTAGGGTTAGGGTTAGGGTTAGCGTTAGCATTAGGGTTAGGTTTAGGGTTAGGGAGGTTATGGACAGAACTGCCTGTTACTGGATAAAGGAGGCTGAGTCCGGCCTGTGGCTGCAGGGGAAGTGGAGATGCTGGTGGACTTGGCACTGCTTCATGGAGGGGAAGTAAGAAAAAAGTAGATGGCCTGGCTTCCGTGGCTCAGTGGTTGAGCCTTGATCTATGAACCAGGAGGTCACAGTTCGATTCCCAGTCAGGGCACATGCCTGGGTTGTGGGCTTGATCCCCTGTGTGGGGCGTGCGGGAGGTAGCCAATCAATGATTCTCTCATAGTTGATGGCTCTCTCTCTCTTCCTCCCTCCCTCCTCTCTGAAATCAATAAGAACATATATATATTTTAGAAAGAAAGAACGAGGAGGACGCAGCCAGGGTTAAACGTAAAGCAATTGTCATGTTCGAGAGAAGGCCGGGAGCGACTGGTCTCTCTTCCTTCAATCATGTTCACTGTGAAACCCCTGTCAGCCCAGGCACAAGGCTGTGGTAACCACCCACCGGGCCCCTCCTGTTTCCCGGTCCCTGCCCGGGGCTACGCGGCCTCAGCTCGCCAAGGAGGCGCTGACCCTGGTGACCAGGTCTGGAGGGCACCGCCGTGTGCAAGGCTCAGTGAGTCACCCTGAGTACAGCCTCGTGCTTGTCGGCTTCTAGAAGCTCAGTGCCCCAGAGCAAATCAGATTGGCCGAGACTCACCTGGCAACAGCCGCAGTCCCGTCCCAAGACAAAGCGCTTGCAGTGGCAGGCCCCGCTGGAGGGGTCGCAGGCCTGCGTGCCAGGGCCCCGCCCGGGGGGGTCACACCTGCAGGCTGAGGCACAGACAGGGGAGGGGCATGTGTGATCGGGCGGAGATGGCACACAGCCAGGAGGACGTGCGGAGTCTGCGCTGAGGGTCACTCACGCTGGCAGCCCTCTGACGGGGGAAGGCTCAGGCCATAGTGTCCGGGCCGGCAGGAGTCACAGTGCCGGCCCCAGACGTTGGCTTTGCAGGACACTGCCCAGAGAGAAGGCCCCGGGTCTCATCTGTGTGGGCGTCACACAAGCCGCCCTCCAGGGCACCCACGGGGTCACAGTCACAGGCTGGCGAGTCAGAGTGAGGGCAGTTAGGTCAGGGGTCCCCTGGAGGGCAGGGGTCGGGGGGCAGGTTGGGACCTGGGCTCACGTTTGCAGGAGTGAAGGGAGCAGGGGTCTGCCTGGGGGTCCCGGTGGAAGAAGGGCCGGCAGAGCTCTCAGCGGCGCCCAGCAGTGTTGTGCTGACACGCGTCGCACACGCCTCCACTCACGTTGCCAGATGCCAGGTACAGGGCCATGTTAAAGTGGCAGCTGCGGGTGTGCCCATGGCACTCGCATTCTGGGGGAGCATGAGAAAGGTGGGGATGGAGTGGGTGGCCCCATGGCCAGGAAGGCCAGGCCGTCGGGTATGGCACCTACCCTGGCAGGAGTGGGGGTGCCCAGGCTCGGCGGCGTGCCATGGGTGGTCCTGGTACAGGTCCTGGCAGCGCTCACAGTGGGCACCAGCTGTGTGATGGCAGCAGACACAAAGGCCATGCACCTGGCAGGAAGGAGGGCAGGCTGAGTCGGCCCCCGTGCCCCAGCTTGCCCTCCCCCCGCCACACGATGCCCCTCCCTCTCGCTCACCATGCCTTCTGCGTTGGCTGGGGCCCCGGGTGCAGGCCTGCACTCAGAGGCATGGCCGTGGCACAGGCAGCTGCCTCCGGCCGCGAGCTCATAGAGGGCATAGTAGAAGGGGTGTCCCCTGAGGCCCCCCGGGGGCCTGTCACCAAGGGTGTGCAGTTTGGAGAAGTTCACACGGAGGTTAGTCACGTGCAGGAGCTCTGGAGACACAGATGGAGAGGCCTCAGGCCTGCTGGTCCCCCCTCCACGGCTGGGAGGGAGGGGGGAAGAGGGTGTCTCCCTCTCTGTCATCGCAGCCACCTGCTCCAGCACCCCTGCTCCTCGGGTCCGCATCAGGACGACCTCATGTGGCAGTGCCATCTCTGCACGGCTCCAGCCCCGATGCCACTCCTGAGTGGAGCCCTCTGCGTCCCCTGCTCCCTGGACATCCCTTCTGCGTCTCTGGATACTTGAACCTGCCTCCCCACCTGTCCTCCAAGCCCTGTGGGCACTAGCTTGTCAGCTGTATCTCCCACTTCAGGCCTGCTCCCCGCCATGGCCCCCATTCCTGGCCACGACTGCTCCCATGCTGTGCCCACTGCATAGGGCCTGGCGTGGGCAGGCTTCCATCTCTGCCCCCTCCCTGCCCAGAAGCCGCCTGCCACGCAGCGGGCCCTTGCTCAGTGCACAGGCGGATGGTCCGCGGCTCCTCCTGCTCCACAGCTTCGGTCAGGTGCCTGGCCAAGGCCACCTCCTATGTCTCTCCTTTGCCAGGTTCCCCTTTTCTCCTGATCAAAGGAATGGGCAGCAGCTGCCCCGGGGCCTAGGGTGGGGTTCAGGGTGAGCAGCTGGTATCACAGTCCCGGTAGGTGGAGTGTGTGGAGAAAAAGCTCCTTTGGGTTTGTCCTGCTGTGTTTCTGCCTGGCTGGCTCTGGGCGACCCTGTTGAATTATGTGTGTCTCTTTTTTCTTCTTCTTGTTTTTAAAATATATTTTTACTGATTTCAGAGAGGAAGGGAGAGGGAGAGATAGAAACATCAACGATGAGAGAGAATCATTGATCAGCTGCCTCCTGTAGCCCCGCACTGGAGATTGAGCCCGCAACCCGGGCCGTGCCCTGACTGGGAATCGAACTGTGACCTCCTGGTTCATAGGTTGATGCTCAACCACTGAGCCACACCGGCCGGGCTCTCTTGCTCTGTAACAGGCTTCTGCTTCACAAGGTCACCCCCAGAGATGCCCTGGGGTCAGCTAGAGGCAGCTGTGGGACATAGGGCACCCACTAAGGCCAGAATGAAGACTCCGAGGGGAGGGGAGGGACTGGGTCCGTGATGGGGGCTCACAGGGGAGGTAGGAGGTAGTGACAGGAGCAGAGACATGGCGGCTGGCAGGGAGAGCAGTGACAGGGACCACACGGGCCCCACGAGTCCAGTGAGGGGGCAGAGATGGAACTGCTACCCATGCCGGCCCGGCCCCTATGCAGTGGGCACATGACGAGCAGTGAGGGGGCAGGAATGGGGGCCACATTAGGGACCACAATCGAGGACTGTGAAGGGGCAGCTGGAGCAGGATGCTGGGGGACTGAGCTGGCTCGCCCACCACCTGCCTCCCTCCCCTCCCCCTCCCTCCGCGGGACCACCCCTCCCCCAATAGCTGCCAGCCTCATGGGCAGGGAGTGCAGGATTGGCTGAGAATCACGCTGAATCTCGGGGTTGTGTGGGTTCTCCACCAGAATGGCCGGGTCCAGAACTTTGAAAATGACCTGAGGAAGAAGCAAGGCTGAGCCTCTGGCTTCACAACCGCCCACCCCGCCCTCCTTTGGCCTGACCTTGCCCCTGGTGGAAGGCTCAATGTCTGAGTAACGCTGGTCACAGACGGGATGGCTGACACTGGCCCGGGGCACGGGCGACGCCAGGGAAGAGGCCCGAGCAGTTGTGGGCAAAGTACCCGTACACATGCCAGGAGTGGCCGCGGTCCACCGCACGCTCGAGGGCCAGCGCTGCTGGACGGAAAGTCTGGGGACAGGAGGGGTCCCCGGGTTACCAGGGGCAGGCACCAGGGTGGCTGTCAGGACAGGAGGCTCACGGCAGCCTTCAGGCCAGGGCACCGGTCACCTTGAAAGTCATGATGAGGTGGGTGAAGTAGAACGCACTCTCCAGGTCTAGCTGGATGGTGACGTTCTCAACACCTGCAACCACAGGGCTGGTCAGAGTGACGAGCCCTTGACCCCAGACCCCAGGCCCTCACACCCAGGTACACCAGCACCCTCACCGCTCTCAGCTTGCCACCAGGTCTGGTTGCCACGGGGACCACTCCGGGAGATCACATTCTCAATGTCATGGCCACCCCGGTCCCGAGAGTTGCAAAAGAAGCAATTTTCAGAGTCCTGGGGGAGTGTCAAAGGAGAGGGGGGTAGGAGGCGCATGGCGGTGCCCCCACTCCAAAGCTTCACAGCTCCGGCCTCTCCCTCTAGCCCCCGGTGACCTCAACTCCTACAGGGCCGAGCCCCCCAGGAAGACCCAGAGGTACCTGGTCCAGAGGCCTCCCTCTCCCCTCTGCCTGGGGGTGACTGACAAGGCAGTAACGCTCAGGCCCATGGCGTCCACAGGTGGATGAGCTACGAAGGCTCTGGCCACGACCGACAATCAGGTCGCCAGTGGGTGGGTAGCAGCTGCCGCTCTGGCAACCAGGTGGGGTAAGTGTGTCTGGCACCTCCTGGGCAACTGTTCTGGGAGCCTGGACTGGGAGGGGGAGGGGGAGGGTCTGAATGGGGATCCTAGAGGTACCCCCTCCAACCTCACCCCACCAGGCAGCCTGAAGACTTCTCCCCTCCAGATGACTCAGAGGAGCCAACTCCTCACCCATGGGTGGCAGCAGCAACAGCAGCACAGAAAGGAGGGGCCTAGCTCAGCGGGGGACCAGGGTGGTGGGCGCTGGAATCAGGCCTGAGAGGATGAGAGTGGGCCCCACGCTGGCCCCCTCGAGCAGCTGTGTGGCCCCTGGGCCAGTCCCCATACTCACATGGTGGGTGAAAGCAGGGCCACCAAAGGCAAGAGGCGCACAGGGCTGTGGGCCACCATGCGGCGGGGAGCAAGGGGTCCCTGAGGAAGTCCGGCCCAGGGGAAGGACGCAAGGTGGGCGGAGCACAGGAGCTCCTGCAGGCCCAGCCGCTGCCAGTGCAGCCAGGGTGCAGACCAGCCCAGACAGAAAAGGCCGATTCTCATTCAATGAGGCTCCCACCCCAGCCCCGAAAGGCTGCCTCCAGGAGCCCCTGGGGAATGCCTCCCGCCTCCCGCCCCCCCCCCACCCCCCACCCCCGCCTTCAGGCTGGGCAGCCAGCAAGACTGGCAGATGGGCAGGGAGCTGGTTTTGTTCAGGGCTCAAAGCCCAGCCCCCACTCCAAAGCAGGAAAGCTGATAGTGTCGGACACGTCCAGGCCGGCTGAGGCCTGAGCTGGACTCGGGAACAGAGCGAGCACCTGGAACCTGGTAGAACACACTGCTCACGGGGCAGCCGGGGATGCAGCATCCACCCACCCGAGGAGAAAACTGCTTCATCAGGGAGGGCAGACTGTGGCCCTACAACCCGGAGCTCTGACCTCTGACTCAACCCCAACTCCTTAACTGGGGAAATCAAGGCTGGCCACTCTTCTGGAAGAAGAAAGGGGAGGAGAGGCAGAGGTACGCAGGTCATTTGGGGCCAAAGAAACCCAGGCAAAGCCAAAAGTTTCAGCCAAAGCCAGGCTGGAAGCCAAGGCCAGGCTGTCTGCACCACCCCTGGGGAGCGGGACCACAAAGCCCCTTCCCTGACCTAGAAACTGGCAAGGTGCCTGTTTCCCCCGCTCCGTTTTCCTCCCACATGGGGTCCAATCTGGGTAACAAACCACCTGAATGGCGCTGCCCTTGCCCTGAGGAGCCCCTGCACCAGAGGGCAGGGTACCCGGGGGCCTGGAGGCTGCCTTCCCGTGGTGTCCCCTCACTAGCATGGAGGCCCGCCCTCGGCTGCCAGGACCCCTCACCGCAGCCACACACAGACATGGACGGCAGGCAGGGAGGCCGGGAGGTGGAAAGGTATAAAACGTGATAGATGGAACCGTGGACGTACACCCTGAAGAGCAGCAAGTCACAGTGATTGCCCCCTACTGCCCCCCCACCAGCCCCCCACCCTCCGGTCTGGAAGGCTGGTGGCTGCCAGGGCCCTGGAGAGGCACCCGGAGTCCTCAAGGTTGTGGAGTCCACAGGCATTGCACACTGTGCCACTGACCACACGGACAGCTGGACTTAGTTCCCCCAAACATTGCTGGGTGAAGAAGTCAGGGTACTGGCTGCGGCAGCAGCGGCTGGAGCCGGATCACAGGGGACAGGTTCACGCGGAGGGCACGCTGAGCCTGCTGCCGCACTTCGTCGTCCGAGGACCGCTGGTCCACCTTGAAGGCCCGGAATGTCAGCAGCTTGGATGTTCCAAGGCGCAGGCGTGCCTTCGGGGACCGGGCCCCAAGCCGGGCTCTCTTCTGGGGAAGATGATCTTTTGCCTCCTCAGTCCTTTTCCTCTTCTGCCCCCCAGTCCCAGGGCTCCTCTTCTGGCCTTTCCTCGCAGTCCTGGCCTGAACAGACCCTTTCAGCCGGCCCCGGCCCCGGCCCCTGGGCTGGGTCCGAGCAGCCTTGGCCCTGGCCCGCGCTGCCTTGGCTTTGGCCTTGGCCTTGATCCGCGCTGCCCTGGCTTTGGCCTTGGCCTTGATCCATGCTGCCTTGGCCCTGGCCCGCGCTGCCCTGGCTTTGGCCTTGGCCTTGGCCTTGGCAGCTTTGGCCTGAGTGTGAGCCGCCATGGCCTGGGCACAGGCAACTCTGGCTAGTGTTTGAGCTGCCTTGGCCTGGGCTGTCTTGGTGCTCAAGGCAGAGACACCTTTCATTTGTGGGCCAAGGAGGGATCCAGTGGCTTTGCAGGTCTTGCTCTGAGGCCCCGTGCTTTCTTGGGGTCCAGCACTGGGGCCCCTGCGAATCACACACTTAGGGCCCTTGCTGGTGACTTTCCCGGGAACCGCCAGCCCCTTTCCGGGACCTTCCCGCAGCTTCAGGGGAGAGTCCGCAAGGGAGAGCTGCAGCGACTGGGTCGCGCGCTTGGCACCCAAGTGGGGCACGGGAGTCTTGAGCGGAACCAGGGCCTCTAGGACAACGGAGAGCCGCATGGCAGGGTAGACACCTGGATAGAGGTGGGTGGGGAAGCCCATGGCCGTGTCCCGGGCGTGGCTGGCACTGGACTCCTTCAGGGAGCTCAGCAGCAGGTTGGTGGCGGAATGCTTGGCGAGGGCTGGTGTGGACGCCTTGGCCAGCCTGCCCGGCAGCGGCATGGGCAGCAGCGTGGCCCGGCCTGCGGGCAGCCGCACAGCAGCTCGGGGAGCACTGGCTGGAGGTGACGTGGTGGCTGGGATGGGGGCACGAGCGTGCAGCTTCGTCTGGCTTGGCGGTGTGGCCGTGCACGAACTATAGCCGTAGACATCACCGCTGCGCAGGATGGTTGGCTGGAAGCCATCCTCTCGCAGGCCCTGCAGGAAGGCCACCAGCTGGGCCTCCGTGGCACTGAGATCCTGGCTCATGGGGTTAAAGACCAGCAGCGCCTCCTCCAGTGCCTTCTTCCCCGCCGTGGAGATCCGGGACCACGAGTGCACAGCTTTCTCTTCCACATGCTGTGCCACGCTCATGGCATTGGCACTGCAGGCCTGTCCGGGTTGTCTGCAAACCAGCGCTCGGCACCTGCAAGGCAAGAGGAAACGAGTCAATAAGAACAGCATGGAGAAAGGGGTCAGTCAGGGCTTGCACTGCCCAGAGCACCCACCGACAGAGGCCTGGCAGAGTGAGCCACTCCACGAAGCAAACGATGTTCTCCTGACCCCTCCGGGCAGCAGGGTGGGGGCTGGGGGTGGGAGAGGACCCCTGTGGGTCAGAGGCAGCTTCTTCAGGATATTTGCCCACAAGCTCGTCAGAGCCACCCAACCGGCCGCTGTGTCCCTGAAGAGACCTGGGCTCAGCTAGCCTGTTTGAATTCAAGTCTGTATTTTCTGGGGCCAGAAATCTAGCATTAGACTCAACCCTGGGAACACGAGTGAATATCTGTCCTCAAGGAGCCGTGCACAGAAGGCAAGACAGAGACACCATCAAGGTGGATGGGAGGGCACACGGTACCCAGTGGAGCTCACCAAGGGGTCAGGAAAGGGTTCCTGGGAAAGGCGGCCCCTGGCTGGGACTGAGTGATGAACAGGAAGGGACCAGATGGACATGGCAAAGGGCGCAGCCTACGCGATGGCTCCAATGTGAGACAGAGTGACACACACTTGGGGTGACGGAGTCTGTGGTCAGGGCTGGGACCCTGAGTTCAAAAGAACAGGGGAAAGCAGGACAACACAAGCCCTGAGTGCTGGCCAAGGGCCCAGACCTCCACCCCACGTCCATGCCCATCTCCCTCCCTCAAGCTGCAGCGAGTCAGGAGCCCAGGGGCAAACCTCCCTGCCCACCAGACCTTCTGCTCTCAGTTCCCGACAGGCCACGTGGAGGCCCCAGCACTGGAGTCATGGAGGCCAGCCAGGCTCGCCTTCAACAGAAACTAAAAAGACTGGCGAGTAGCACATGCGAACCACACAGCTCTAGGCAGTCAGGCGGCCGGGGGGCCGAGCAGCCAGAGCCAGAGCCCAGGGTTTGAGAGCGGAGCAGAGGCTGCACGCAGGCCGGGGGCCAGGGGATGTGGGCTGCCCTGCCGAGGGGGCTGCAGGGCCCACCGCGGCACCGCCAGCCGGGCTGCCCCAGCTCCGGGAAGAAGCCGCGGGCTGTCAATCATGACTGAGGTCTCGCCCGCCCCGCAGTGGGGCCGGGGCAGCTGGCTGGGCGCGGGGAGCGGGGAGCGTGACGGGACCAGCGGGATCAGCCGCTCTTCCCACCCGCCCAGGGCAGCCCCCGGAGGGACATCTCGGACCCGCAGGTGCCGGGCGCTTCCCTCCCGAGGCCACACTCCGAGCGCAGCCTTGCACGTGGCTCTAGTTGTGCTACTTTCCCGGGTGCAGCTCGGGTCTGAGCACAGACCCGGGAGGGCGGACACCAGGCGCAGGCGGCAGGGGAGACGCGGGTGCTCGGAGCCCAGGTGCTCGGAGCCCCGGGGGCCTTTCCAAGAAGCTCCCGACACCGGGCAGCCCGGCCCCGACCCCCTTCCCATCTGCCCGGGGCCGGCGGGGGAGCCGACGGACGACGGGAGAAGGGACAGGCCCACCGGGGACCCGGCGGGTGGCCAGGCGGGGAATGGAGTCCCCGGGGCCCGAGGAGCGGGGTCTCCGAGGCAGGAGCCGCGCGGGGCCGCCGACAGGGCGCGCAGCCGCCGGTGGGCGCCGGGCGGGGGTCGCGTGGGGGCGGCAGAGCCGGGCGTCCCGCGGGCGGACCCTCCGCGGCGCGGCCAGGCCCACGGCCCCAACCTACCGGCGCCGCCGCGGGGACCCAGGACGCACCTCTGCGCCGCCTCCGCCGCTCCAACATGGCCGCCCGCTGAGCGCCGGAAGTGCGCTGCGCTTCCGCTTCCGGGACCTGGCCCGCCCTGCTGACCTTTGACCCCGACCCCGGTTTCCCCCAAGTGGGGGCGGGGCGGGTGGGTCCCTGCGGGGGGCGCTCCTGGAGGAAGCAGCCGCGGGGGCCGTCGGTGCGGGAGCCCGAGGCCGGGGCGCTCCGGGCGGGACCGGGCCGGGTCCCTTCAGACGTGAACCGGGCGGAGAGGAGGGGCCGGGGCGGGGGCTCTGAGACGCCCGGAGGCTGGTCCCCGCCTCTGGGTGCCGGTCTGTCCCAGACGGACCTCGGGGAGCTGCCATCAGAGCCAAGTCTGGCCTGAGCTGGGCTCAGGCGGGTACCAACCCCGGAGGCGCACCTGGGATTAGAGGGGATGAGGGTCATCCCAGTCCTCCCCTGGCTCTGCGCCGGCATCTTCCGTAGCCCCGAGCGATGGCCCCGGGCCCTGTCCGCCTGAGCAGGGGCACCTGGTGGAGATCTGGATGCGAGTGAGGCCAGTGGCCCGGGAGCGACCCAGCCCGAGGCGGCCTGTGTGCAGAGGAGAAAGGCCAGGGCGGATCTTGGGGGGCCGCTTCCTGGGGATGAAGGGGAGAGAGGCAGCACAGCAGCTGGCGGAAGCCAGAGTCGCCGGGATCCCCGGACACTTGGGCTGAGACAAAGGCCCCTGAAGTTTTAGCTGCAGGGGGTTCCATGGTGACTCTGCAAGCGCTGTTCTGGGGGAGCCGTGGCAGCAGACATGCGGGGCGGAACCCCGGTGGCGGGCCGTGAGAACAGCCGGCTTCGGGAGTTTGACTGGAGGGAGGACGGAGAGGCTGGCGGGCCTTGGGGTGCTGGGGGGTCTCTAAAGACAGGAGGCTTTCCAGTGCTTCATGGCGGGAAAGGCGAGGGGAAGGGGCCTGGAGAGGGAATCGTGGGCGCTGTGCGGGGGGTTGTAGGGCAGCGTGAACCAACCGAGGAGGAAGGGGACGGAGTTCCCTACGTGGTGAGCGGGTCGGAGCCCAGTGGAGTGAAGCACAGCAGCCTGGCCAGGATCTGCCGCTGACCTGGACCACCGTTTCCGGGGCAGGTTCTCCAGCCGCCAGCCTCTGCGAGTGGCTGCGGCCGCTTTGCTCACAGACAAGGCTCTGCCCACACTCTGGGGTGGAACGGGAGGCCCGTGTCCCACATTGGCCTGGGGGATTGGGTCCCAGCTGCTCGCAGTGCTGTCCTGCTGCTTCCTGGCCTCACCTCCAGTGACGACAGGCACCTGCACCTTTGTCTCCAGGTGTGCGTCTAGGGCAGGGGTGGGCAAACTTTTTGACTCGAGGGCCACAATGGGTTCTTAAACTGGACTGGAGGGACAGAACAAAAGCATGGATGGAGTGTTTGTGTGAACTAATATAAATTCAAAGTAAACATCATTACATAAAAGGGTCCGGTCTTTTTTTTTTTTTAGTTTTATTCATTTCAAACGGGCCGGATCCAGCCCGTGGGACGTAGTTTGCCCACGGCTGGTCTAGGGACACCCGGGGACAGACACTGTCCAGGAAAGAGAGGCAGGAAGGCAACGAGCACACACAGCCACAGGACTACTTCTTCGTTCTTTAAAATTTTTATTTATTGATTTGAGAGAGAGACTTGTTGTTCCGCTCGTTTATGCACTCACCAGTTGATTCTTGTGCCCTGACTGGGATCGAACCTGCAGCCTTGGCGTATCAGGGTGACACTCTCACCAACGGAGCTAATCGGCCAGGGCAGGACCTCTCCTCATAGGTGACCCTTGACCTGTAAGATGGTCTGCCAGCTCCCAGACTTCGCCAATACTCTCGAACACTCAGAAGATGGGCCAGGGCCTGGGTCTGAGGTGGGTAGTCCTTCGTCATGCCAACTTGCCCGTGCTCGGCCCCAGCGTTGGCTAGAGGCGAGGCCAGGACCCTGAGCACGGACAGTCACAACATGACTTGGGTCCCAGAACAGCCAGGCTCCGGCGCTGCAGACTGAGGCCGAACCCCTGCTGGAAGGTCCCTTGGCCTCTGACTGCAAGTTCAGCCCCTGCTCAGAGCAACCCCCCCCTCCCCAACTCCAGGACCCCCTCCTCCCCTTCCCGCCCCCCTCCCCCGCAGGCTGCAGAAAGGCTGTCAGCACTGAGGACAGCGGCCCTGCTCCCGCAGCCCTGCGGCCTCCACCTGTTGGGACCTGCCCGGTGCCCGCTCTGTGCCTGGGGAAGGGCCGCACCCGCCAGAGAGCAGGCCACGCCCCAAGGGACCTCCAGGGGGCGCCGCCTGGGAGCCTGTGGTCGGGCTCCTCCAAGTTCAGTGGCCGTGGGCGGCCCGGCCCCCCAGGCCCCGGCTCTGCAGGCCCCACGCCCTTCCCTCCACCGGCTGCTCAGAGGCCGCCCGCTCGGAGCGGCCCCCACCGTACACGTGTGCTGTCACCGCGGTCTCATCCCCCACCCCCCCCCGTGTCGGACCCTCAACTCTGGGAAAGCCCAGTGTCCACTCGTCCATCTCTCTGCTCACCCGTTTGCGTGTGGCCGTGGGTCGGCGCCGAGCTGCAGCCGTGGCAGGTGCAGGGTTAATGTGGGGGTGGGGGTGGGGGAGGTGTCCCCGAGTCGGGAGGGGGAGAGGGCGGACCCCGTCCAGCCCCGCCCCGCGCCGGAGCCGAGCCAGAGCCCCGCGGAGCCTGGACGCAGCCCCAGCCGCAGCCGGAGCCGGTGGAGCCCGGACACCGGACCCCGCGCCCCGGCGGCGCCGGAGCCCCGGCCGGTGAGTCCCGCGGGAACTGGGGAAGTTTAGGGCGCAGGGTGAGCCCCAAGCGCGCTCGCCGGGACCCGCCCCCCGCCCTCCCGCGGGCTGGAAGTTTGGGGCTGGAGGCTCCGGCGCCTGGGGTCCCAGGAGTGTGTCCCTCCAGAAGGGACAGGCTGGGGGGCTGGGTGTTTGCTGTGAGGGGCGCAGAGGTCCAGTTGCCCATTCCTGCTGGATCCTCCTCCTCCCCCGTGTGGACACCAGGGAGCTGGCCTGGGGGGCTGAGAACACCAGCTGCGGAGGGTGGACCCCAAGGGGGAGTGCGGGATCCTGGCCTCCAGGCCCAGACATCCTGGTGGTGGCCTTTTGCTGGGGGGAGTGGGTGAGCTCGTGGCTCCCAGAGGGGCTGTGGGTGCCCTGGAGTTGGATCCCTGGTGGCAGTGGGAGACCTGATGGCTGCCCAGGCGCAGAGGAAGCCAGGAGGGGGGCACGCAGGAGTCCGCTCCTACAGAGTGGAGAGCCCTGTCCTCGTCCCCTTACCTTCCATCGAGACCGGGTCTGACCAGGGAGCTCTGAGGTGCCTGGGACAGGGCTTGGCCTCCTGTGCCCGCCCCTGCCTCACTCTGAGCTGGGCTGCAGACCCGACACTGCCTTTCCCAGCGGAGGTGGGAGGCAGCGCCCAGGCTGGCCCCGCAGGAGGGAGGACCAGCCGCTTGCCTGCCCCGTCCATTCTCTTCTCTCAGAGACCGAGGGGTGGCCAAGGGGAGGCGAGCAGGGGACAGGGGGTGGTAGGGAATCCCACACGCCCATGGGAGGAGGGAGAGGCCCGGGGTCTGGGAGCTGCACCCTGCCCACTCCAGGTGGGTGGGCCTCCACGGTGGCTTGCTAGCCAGCCAGGGGGTCCCATTCCTCCTTTCCCACCGGGGATTCCGGCCCGAAGCTACAGGCTGCTCATCTGGCCTCTGAGAGCAGGTCAGGGGCCTGACCCGTCTCCCTCTCTCCTCCAGGAGAAGGCATGTGCCCTGGGCTGTCAGACACCCTTTAACCTGGTGGTCAAGATGAGGCTGGAATCTGCGAGGCCTGCAGCCTGAGCAGTAGCATGGCCTGCCAATGAGGTGAACACCATGGCTGCAGGGGGTAGCCGGGCCTTTGCCTGGCAGGTGTTCCCACCCATGCCCACCTGCCGGGTGTATGGCACGGTCGCACACCAGGATGGGCACCTGCTAGTGCTGGGGGGCTGTGGCCGGGCTGGGCTGCCCCTGGACACTGCCGAGACCCTGGACATGGCCTCACACACATGGCTGGCACTAGCACCCCTGCCCACTGCTCGGGCTGGCGCGGCCGCTGTGGTGCTGGGCAAGCAAGTGCTAGTGGTGGGAGGTGTGGACGAGGGCCAGAGCCCAGTAGCTGCCGTGGAGGCCTTCCTGGCCGATGAGGGCCGCTGGGAGCATCGGGCCACCCTCCCACAGGCCGCCATGGGCATCGCCGCTGTGGAGAGAGGTGAGTGGCTCCCAGGAAGGGCTCTTGGTGCCCCAACTCCCTGCGTTTTCCCACTGGTTCCTTCCCTTAGAGCTGGGCAGGAGCTGTTGCGTTAGCCTGGGCGCCTGGGACAGGGCTTGGCCTCCTGTGCCCGCCCCTGCCTCGCTCTGAGCTGGGCTGCAGACCCTGCACTGCCTTTCCCAGCGGGGAGGAGGGAGGCTGGCCCCGTAGGAGGGAGGACCAGCCGCTTCCGCCCCGTCCATTCCTCTTCTCTCAGAGACGGAGGGGGGGGGGGGTGCGCAAGGACGCTCCTGGTTATAAATAGTCTGGGGGAGCAGGTGGGGCAGAGCCCAACGGGATTGTCCCTCCACACACATCAGGGAGCCTGAGGTGGACAAAGGCCAGCCTGGCTTGGGGACAGTTGCCATGGAAGCGCCCAGCTGACTGGCTGTCTCCTCCAGAGCCCCTGACATGCCCCCAACTGACCTTGAAGACATAAGAGGGCAAGAACTTACTCTAGTGAAAAGGTGGGGTGCAGAGGTGCTGGTGGGGCTCCTGGGCAGAAGGCTTGTGGCCAATACTCCTCTCCTGCAGGCCCCAGCTGGTCCCCCCACCCCTGGCTTAAACCATCCCCCAGCCTCCTTCCCCCAGGGAGGCCCCATCTTGTGGCCTCCAGGTCTGACCAGGTCTGCTTCTGCTTGGATGCCAGACTTGGTTGCCATAGCATCTCCAGGGAGACGGAGACAGATTATAATTAGATCGGCTGCCTCTCGCCCTCCACTGGAGGGGCCCTGGTCAGAGCAGGAATCCTGGTTCTCCCAGCGCCCCCTCCAGGCCAGCGCATGGGTTTCCCCTGCGGGGGAGGGTACCTCAAACATGGGTCTCCCGCCTCCCCAGGGCAGCTGTCTGGGTGGGTGCCCTGGGGAGCCTGGGGTACCGTCTGCCCTGCTCCTTTCTGTGCAGACGGCCTGGTGTACGCTCTGGGCGGAATGGGCTCCGACACAGCCCCCCAGGCCCAGGTCCGGGTGTACGAGCCCCGCCAGGACTGCTGGCTCTCACTGCCTTCTATGCCCACGCCCTGCTACGGAGCGTCCACCTTCCTGCACGGGAACAAGATCTATGTCCTGGGTAAGCGCCTGGGGGCTGTGGGCAAAGGGCCCGGAGCCCAGAGCCCCTACCCTGTGCTTTGGCTAGAATCAGGCTGAGTTGGGGGGGCAGGACAAGGAGGCTTTGTTGGGGTGAGCCAGGCTTGCTCCGAGGCTCCAGCCCCTGGTGGACCTGCTGGAACTGGAAAACCCAAACTCAGTGCCCAGCAGCGGAGGGTGGTGACCAGGCCCTGGCTGCACAGCTGGCTGGTGGCTGGAGCGGCAGCGCCGAGCCTCAGCAACCTGGTGGTGGAGGCGCCTGCCTGCGCCCAGCCTCCCTCCCAGGTGCCTGATGCCATCGCAGGGGGCCGCCAGGGCAAGCTCCCCGTGACTGCTTTTGAGGCCTTTGACCTGGAGGCCCGGACCTGGACCCGGCACCCAAGCCTGCCCAGCCGCCGGGCCTTTGCCGGCTGCGCCATGGCCGAAGGCAGCGTCTTCAGCCTGGGGGGCCTGCAGCAGCCTGGGCCCCACAACTTCTACTCGCGCCCGCACTTCGTCAACACCGTGGAGACGTTCGACCTGGAGCGCGGTGAGCAGGGCGGTCCTGGGTGTCCTCCCGCCGTGGAGGGCCCGTGGGGCCCGCCCTGACCTCCCCTCCCTTCCCCTCCCCTGCAGGCTCCTGGACCAAGCTGCCCCGCGGCCTGCGCATGAGGGATAAGAGGGCCGACTTTGTGGTCGGCGCCCTTGGGGGCTACATTGTGGCTGTGGGGGGACTTGGTGAGTCTGCGGGGCTGGGACAGGGGAGCCCAGGGCAGGAAGGAGTGGCCTCCAGCGTGAGCACCACCTGCCGTCTCTGGGCTCAGGGCTCGGGGCTTGTGAGCTGCCCTTTCCGATCTGGGGAGCCAGCGAGGGTGTCCTCAGCCCCTGACTGAATTGTGTGCCAGCGGGGCCTCGGGGCCGCCGAATGAGTGGCAGGTAGAAACAGGAGTGCGCACACGAAGGGTGAGGAATGGGCAGGAAGCAGCGAGGCCGACAGTCCGTCCGGGGCGATGCCTTCTGGCCACACGCTGGGTTCAGGGAGCAAAGGAGCTGGCGCCCCTCAGCCTGTGCCTCCCAACCGCTGTCTCCTGCAGGGAACCAGCCGTGCCCGCTGGGCTCCGCGGAGGGCTTCAGCCTTGCCCGGCGGCGCTGGGCAGTGCTGCCCGCCATGCCCACCGCCCGCTGCTCCTGTTCCAGCCTGCAGGCGGGGCCCCGGCTGTTTGTCATCGGGGGCGTGGCACAGGGTCCCAGCCAGGCTGTGGAGGCTCTGTGTCTGCGTGATGGGGTCTGAATCCTGCGGGGACCTTGTCCCCTGGAGCAGCTCAGGGCCAGAGGCAGCTGCTCTGTGGGATGCGGGCGCTGTGACACAGCCGTGGGGACGGGCGGGAGGCGCCATCCATAGCGTAGGGTACCCATACGCTTCCACCACCTCACCCCCCTTCACTCATGGCCCTGGCCTCCCCGACCCTTGCTCTGGGACCTACGGGCCCTCTGTCCGATTGGGAAGTGGGGGAGGGAAGAGCCGGCCTCAGCCCTGCAGGGTCAGTGCCTGCCTGGAGTCGACCAGGCCTCCCCGTGACTATTCCTGAGAAGTCCTGCCTGCCAGCCTGCCTTGGAGGCCCCTGGGGACCCAGGAGAGTTGGGGAGGGTGGGGGACACAGAGGGAATGGAAGAGCAACCGCAGGAACCTCCAAAGGGTCAAAAACGTTAGCCTTGGGCCCTTTACACTGTTGGCTGTGTGACCTCGGGCCGGTCATTTCACCTCTCTGTGCCTCAGCATCCTCACCTAAACGGGGATCTCCGAAACCTTCCTGCCCTACCTACCTCACAGGGCTGTTGTGAGGACCCAGGGAGTTCAGATATGGAAGTAAAGATGCTGCTAAAAGCTGGTGTGTGGCCCTGGTGTGGACTCCTGTCCCCCGCAGCCCTGTCCTCCTGTGGAGCTTCCATTGTCCCAAGGATAAGGGTCTAGAAGAGCCTTTTCGATCGGCTGCTGCACCCAAAGTGTCTGCTGTCTCAGCCCCTCCTCAGCCTCCGATTCTCCTTGGGGACCCAGGGCGGCCGCTGTCCCGCTGTCCTGGATGGTGGGGGTCCTCGCAGGACAAGCAGAAAAGGACCACACACCGTGCGGGCAGGACGCTCCCCAGGCCTGGGCCTCAGCATCTCGGCCACACCTTGCTCGCCGCCAACGGTCTCGTGGGGTGTGGCGGACAGCCTCCCTCCGTCCCAGCTGCAGGGAAGCCGTCTGCTGGGCAGGACTGTGTAGCCGCCACCAGACCCCTAGAGGTGAAGCCCCCGAGAAGCCAAGCTGCTGGCCCTCGCCTCGTCGTCCTGGCTTCGCTGCCATTAGTTAGGGCCACTGGCTCTGGCTTCCTGCAGTCTCACTGAGTGTGAGGGGCTCACAGCTGGGTTTGCTGCAAGAATGGATTTGGGGTCCCAGAACCCATCTGCTGTGGCCATGGTAACCCTCCTGGACCCATAGCCTCCTGCTGGCTGTGCCCCTTCTCACTCAACGGCAGAGCTCCCAAGGCAACAACCCCTGCCCAGCACATAGGCACCAGGGGCACCAGTGCCATAGGAGCCGGGCATAAGGCCTGGCAGTGTCTTACTGCGCTCCAGCTCTGCGCCCTCCTGGGCTACAAGCACAGGCCAGGGAGGCCTCGGTGTCAGCCATTCTTTTTTTGTTGATTCTCACCTGAGGATATTTTCCCATTGATTTTTAGAGAGAGTGGAAGGGAGAGAAAGAGACACAGAGAGAAACACGGACGTGAGAGACACACATCAATTGGTTGCCTCCCACATGCACCCCAACTGGGGCCGGGGATCAAGCCTGTAACTGAGGTACATGCCCTTGAGGTACGTGCTGTTGACTGGAATCGAACCCACGACCCTTCAGTCTGCAGGCTGGCGCTCTATCCACTGAGCCAACTGGCCAGGGCAACAGCCATCCTTGTTTAATGCTCTGGACCAGTTTAGACACTCGGAGACGCCCTCATGAAGGTAATGCTGCAGCGGTTTGGACCCGGGGATCTTTGGGAGGTTAGTCCGGGTACTGGGGCCGGAGGCCGGGGGACCCCCGCAGTCGCCGCCACAGTGGCCGCTCTGGGACGGCTGGCAGAAGTTCTGCTGGTAGGTGGTACAGGTGCGGGGGTGGTGGATCTGCACAAAGTGGACGAGGCGCTGAGGGGCGTCACTGGGTCCCGGGGATAACCGGAAGGTGGACTGGTAGGAGGATTCCAGGGGCCGCTGCTGGTAGAGCTCCAGCTCGCTGGAGGCCCAGTGCAGGAAGGTGTGCCGCTGACACAGGCGCTCCATGTTTTTCCGTCTCCCGATGCCCTGCAGTAGGCAGTAGGGACCCTCCTCAGCGGTACGGGCCCTTGGCCCACAGTCCTGGCACCAGGCTTGGCCTTGGGTGCCCCCTAAAGCCAAGCCTGCCCGGTGATGCCTGGCTTGTGCCTGGCCTGAACCCTGCCTCTGGGCCTGCCTCCATTCCGGAGTGAGGCCCCAGCACGTCCGTGGCCCCTGGGAGGCTTGCACATAGTCAGGCCGGCTGGCAGGGGAGCCGCAGCAGCTGTTTCCGGCTCAGCACCAGCCTGGCCCGCTCCTCCTCTCCTCCCCTCCCGCACTGCCCCCCCACCCCCCTGCCTGGCCCCCCTCCTCTCCCGCACTCACCTTGTCGAAGGAAGTGCGGTTGTCGTGCTTGGAGAAGAAGTGCTGCCGCACTGGCTCCTGGAAAGAGAGGAAGAAGGTCATGGGGGAAACGGTGCTTCCCTGCCCCGAGGTCTTCCCTCAGGACCCACAATGGAGGGAAGGTGCCAGGAGCCACCGTCCTAAACTGCTAACCTGCTGCCACCCACAAAGGGCAGATACTAACGAAAGCAACACCTCACTCTGGGCCACCTCAGGACCTCCTGCCCTCGGGCGAGTGGTCAGGCTTTAGGGGAGCCCCCACCTCCACATCACCCAGGAGTAGGCGTGGTTCTCTCCTCCCCTCTCTCCGCACCTACTCCCCCATCAGCAGCCCAAGCTCCTGACCCAGAACATCACCTGGAAATGGACGCTTTTCTCTCTAGTTCAAGCTCCTTTCTGAATTCCAGACCCAGCAGCTAACCGGAGACATCGAAGGCAGCGGTCGCCAACCGGTGCTCCGCGCTCCACTGTGGTCCGTGAGGTCCGAGAGGTTGGCGACCGCTGGTCTAATGGGCATCTCAAGCCCACGGCTGAGCTCGGGATCATTCCCCAGCCCACTCCGGCTACAGCCTCCCAGCTCCGGCCACGGCAGCTGATCCAGCCAAATGCGCTTGATTCCTCCTCTCACCTTACCCCCAAGGGCCAGGAATCCTCCTGGTCCTTCAACATGCACCAGGCCCGGAGCGCGCCTCAGCATGGCCACTGCTTCCCCGGCCCGCCACCTTCCTCTCTGCCGGAGTTACTGCAAGAGCGTCACCCCTGGGATCCCTGCTCCCGAGCTTGCTCCCCATCTGCTGTCCTCTTAGCAGGCAGAATAACTCTCTTAATGCTGAGTCCGTTCACAGCCCTTGTTTGCCAAAGGTCCCTCTTGTTTGTAAAAGCCAAGTCCGCCTCCAGCCTTTGAGATTTTTCTGGCCGTGACTCCTCCTTCCCTTCTTCTTGGGAAGTCTTCCTCGAGCACTGAGCACCACTCCAGCATTCCCATCACCCCAACTCTGCATTTCTCACCTTCTCACATCTACATGACTATCTATTCTGGCTGCTTATTGTCTGTTCTCTCTGCCTTGCTCACATCTGTAACTCCGTCCGGACAACAGTGCCTGGCCCAATGAAGGGCCTGGGCTGATGAGTTCAGTCTTGGCTGGGCTGGGGAATGAGCAGTGGCTGATGGCAGGTTCCTAAGTAAAAGGCAGGGGTAGCTTCATCCCTGATCTCTGAACCAGAATGTTCAGGGCGGAGCCTGTGTATGCGCCTTTGACAAGCTCCTCCATGGGGACCTCCACCTTAGACAGTGAGAACAGGTCTCCAACCAGAATAAAAGGGCCAGGAGGGTGGGAAGCCAGCCAGCCTTACCTTTCAGTCCTCATAACAAGCTGACATCACAGGGATTAAAAACCCAGGGCCCTTTTAGAAAAGAAACAACAGGAGAAAATCCTCAGAATCTAAAGCCAGACAAAGTTCGTAGACTTGATCCATAAAAAACTGATAAATTGGGCCTCATCAAAATGAAAAACTTTTGCTTTGTGAATGTCCATATGAAGAGGCTAAAAAGACAAGCTACAAACTTGGAGAAAATATTTGCAACCCACATACTCAATTAAGGACTAATACCTAGAACCATAGAGCCCTCTCACAGCTCCGCAGTAAAATAACAAACTATCCAGTTAGAACCCTGGCCCATGGCAAAGACATCTCCCCAAAGAGGATATGCAGATGGCAAGGACACATGAAAAGAAGCTCACCATCACCAAACATTCGAGAAATGAAGATTAACCGCCGTGTGATGTCACAGCACGTCCATCATAATGACTAAAATAAGAAACAGAGGCGGTGACAAGTGCTGGTGAGGATGGAGAGAAACTGGGCCCCTTACACCTGGCTGGTAGGGACGGGAAAGCTACAGCTACTCTGGAAAAGTCTGGCCGTTTGTTTTTAAAACTAAACATACAACTCTTCTATGACCCAGCAACTGCACTCCTGGGCATTTATTCCAAAGAAATGAAAACCTATATTCACCCAAACCTGTACACAAATGGCCATGGCAGCTTTCGCTGTAAGAGCCCAACACTGGAGTCAGCCCCGATAGAGAGTCTGTAACAGGTGAAGAGTTAAATGAACAGGCATATGCATGCCACTGACTGCTACTCAGTAAGGAAAAGGAATGACGCATCGACACACACACAGCTGGGTGATGTGTAGGAAATCACGCCGAGTAAGGAAAACCAATCCCGAGAGTTGCACGCTCTATCCTTCCAGTTAGGTGACCCTTTGAAGTGACAACATTCTAGAAACGGAGAGAGTGGTGGCTGCCAGGGGTTAGAGATAGGGAAGGCGGAGAGCGGGGGACGGTGGGTGTGGTCTTAAGAGGGCAGCACCAGGGACCCTGGTGATGTGTCTTGACTGTGGTTGGGATACACAAACCTACACCAGCAAGAAAAAGCTATAGATCTTCATGCCCACACACAAGCACAAGTCAGGCTGGGGAATCCAGGTGAGACAGGTGAGTGCATGCCCGTCAGTGTCCCGGCTGTGATATTATTACTATAGCTTTGCACAGCGTTACCACTGGGGGAAACTGAGCAAAGTGTGGAAGGGCTCTCTATGACTTCTCACAACTGTTTATGTATCTACAATCGTCTCAATACAGGCTTGAACTTAAAAACCCTGGGGGCCTGGGAAGACTACGGTCCTTCCCTCCCCACCCAGCTCGGAGTGTCTGCCCCAGAACTTCACCTACATCTTTGTTCTAAACCATCTAGGGCTCCTTTTCCACCAAGTGGTGAATCCATGGTCTCTGAGCAGGGGGGGCACAGGGGCTGGGGGGCTCAGGTTGAAGAGGCCTTCGGGGGGGGGTGGTGTCTCCTGAGAGGGGCCGTTTGCATGTTGGAGGCAAGGGCCCCGCGGAGGCGGCCAGTCTGCAGCCACCGGTGCTGAGGGCAGACCCTCTGTGCTGCCTGAGGGTGTTGGACAGGGACCCACAGTTGTGGGACCGCCAGCGGCCTGCCCCACCATGACCCAGAGCTAGAATGACATTTCCCAAGAGTCAGGCAGGTGAAGGCTAGAAATCAGTCAGCCTGGTTTGGAAGAAAATGGAATTGTTTTGTGTCTTAATGACATGGATAAGATGCCTACATGCCACGTGAGAGGAGAAGAGAGTGGCTGCTACCCGTGGGAAGGTTTTAACTACAGCTGTAGTGAGACAGGTGCAGTGAGACAGGTGCAGTGAGACAGGTGCAGTGAAACAGCTGCAGTGAGGCAGCTGCAGTGAGACAGGTGCAGTGAGAGCTGCAGTGAGACAGGTGCGGTGAGACAGCTGCAGTGAGATAGGTGCAGTGAGACAGCTGCGGTGAGACAGGTGCAGTGAGACAGCTGCGGTGAGACAGCTGCAGTGAGACAGCTGCAGTAAGACAGGTGCAGTGAGAGCTGCAGTGAGACAGCTGCAGTAAGACAGGTGCAGTGAGAGCTGCAGTGAGACAGCTGCGGTGAGACAGGTGCGGTGAGACAGGTGCGGTGAGACAGCTGCAGTGAGGCAGGTGCAGTGAGAGCTGCAGTGAGACAGCTGCGGTGAGACAGGTGCGGTGAGACAGCTGCAGTGAGACAGGTGCAGTGAGAGCTGCAGTGAGACAGCTGCAGTAAGACAGGTGCAGTGAGAGTTGCAGTGAGACAGGTGCGGTGAGACAGCTGCAGTGAGATAGGTGCAGTGAGACAGCTGTGGTGAGACAGGTGCAGTGAGACAGCTGCGGTGAGACAGGTGCAGTGAGACAGCTGCAGTAAGACAGGTGCAGTGAGAGCTGCAGTGAGACAGCTGCGGTGAGACAGGTGCGGCGAGACAGCTGCAGTGAGACAGGTGCGGTGAGACAGGTGCGGTGAGACAGCTGCAGTGAGGCAGGTGCAGTGAGAGCTGCAGTGAGACAGCTGCGGTGAGACAGCTGCAGTGAGGCAGGTGCAGTGAGAGCTGCTGTGAGACAGCTGCGGTGAGACAGCTGCAGTGAGGCAGGTGCAGTGAGGCAGCTGCAGTGAGACAGGTGCGGTGAAACAGCTGCAGTGAGAGCTGCAGTGAGACAGGTGCAGTGAGAGGTGCAGTGAGACAGCTGCGGTGAGACAGGTGCGGTGAGCCCGCAGACGCCCCCCCCCCCCCCACTGCCCGCGCCCACCTTGCATCGCTGCAGGAAGATTGTCGGGGGCTGGGGCTTGGCCGCCAGGCGGTACTCGAGGGCGCTCTCATTCTTGAACTGGCCTCGGTAGTGCCCATAGAAGCCATTGTTGTGCTGCAGCGGGAGGAGGCGGGTGGGTGAGGCCTACACACCCACCCCACCCACTCCACCCCACCCATACCCCCACCCACTCCACCCCACCCACTCCCCACCCCCACCCCACTCCCACTCCCCAGAGGCTCGAGGCCGCTCGTGGGAGTTCTGACCCAACAAAAAGCACCCGAGGTGGGGGCGCCGGCGGGAGATGGAGCTGGGCCTGCGGGTCACCGGTTCGGCTGGACCCTGGGAGGGGCCTCGGGATGGCGGGGGACCCTACCCAGGAGCCCGCGAGCGCGCTCTGCATCCTTCCGGGGAGAGAGGGCGGAACGCGCTCCCCTCGGCGGAAGGTTGCCCGCGGCCTGGCGTTGCCCGGTGACCGGACCGACGGGCTGTGACCGCACAATGCGGCCCGGGCCTCCCCTGCGGGCCCCGGTCCCGGCGCCCGGAGCTCAGCATCCGGGGCGGCCGCGGAGGCAGGAGACCGGGGGGACCAGCAGGGCCCACGGGGCGGGGCGGGGCGGGGCGAGGAGCGGACGGGACCAGAGAACGCGGCCGCCAGGTCGCCCGTCCGTCCCGAACCACCAGCACCAGGGAGGTCCCGTGGAGCCCCGGCCAGGCACTGCCCGCTGCGGGCTCCGTGCGGGCGAGAGAGAGAGAGAGAGAGAGAGAGAGAGAGAGAGAGAGAGAGAGAGAGAGAGACGCCGCGGGCGCAGCCCCCGCCCCCTAGGCCCCAGCGCCGCCTCACCCGGGCCTGGGCCTCGGCACAATCCGCGTCCATCCACCCGCCCCGCCCGTGCTCACGGGGACCCGCCTGCCTCGCGGTTTACTTTTTTTTTTTTTTAATATATTTTATTGATTTTTTACAGAGAGGAAGGGAGAGGGATAGAGAGTTAGAAACATCGACACACCTCCTACTGGGGATGTGCCCGCAACCCAGGCACATGCCCTTGACCGGAATCGAACCTGGGACCCTTCAGCCCGCAGGCCGATGCTCAGTCCACTGAGCCAAACCGGCTAGGGCCTCACGGTTTACTTTTTAAATAGATTTGACTGCTTCCAGGGAGGGAGACATCGATGCCCGCCCCTGGGGAGCCAGCCGCAGCCGGCAAGTGCCGGCGCCATGGACCGAGGGCTGGAGCCTCGCCGGCCTGGTCCCGGGTGCCCGCCGCCTCCGGCCCGGGCGGCTCGGCAGAGCGTCTCCTCCGCCCACACCCGCCCAGGGGCTCCGGGCGCTGACTCCCCCTTCTCTCTGCTCCAGCTCCCAGCGGGGTCCCCTCTGCCCTCTCCCCCGCCACGCCCCGGCCCCTGGGCGACCTCCCACTCCGCAGTCTGCGGGCAGGCGGCTTCCGGGGGGGCCCCTGAGCGTGCGGGAGGGGGGGGTGCCTGGGCGGCAGCCGGGGAAGAGGGACTGGGGCACGACTCGCGGCGCACGTGGGCGGAGGGCGCGCGTGGGCTGAGGGAGCGCGTGGGCGGAGGGCGCGCGTGGGCGGAGGGAGCGCGTGGGCTGAGGGAGCGCGTGGGCGGAGGGCGCGCGTGGGCGGAGGGAGCGCGTGAGTAGGGGGCGCGCGTGCGTGAAGCCGGCCTGGATCCCAACCGTTAAAACCGTTAGAACCGTTGAAACTGTTAGTCACGTGCTGCAGCAGGGGCCGGGCCCAGGGGGCGGGGCGTGGTCCCATTGGTCAGCGCGGGCCCTGGGGGCGGGGCCGCACATGCCTAGTCGGCTTCCACGCGGCCAGGTGCTCGGGAGCCAGAGGAAGAGCAGGGCTCCCTCGGCGTCGGCGTGTGCGGGTCGGAAGTGGCGGCGGGAGGGGTTCGGGCCGGCTCTCGGGGCGCGGGGAGGGGGGCGAGTCGAGTGACCTCCCAGGGGCCCCGAGGGGCGTTTCCAGGGCCCAGGCTTCCTCGCTGGTTCCCTCGCGGCTCCTGGCCCCGCGCCTCCCTGCGAGGGCTGTGGCGCTGGTCCCCCCGGGAGCCCGAGCCGGCTTTCTCGGGTCCCCCCCCCCCCCCCAGTCTGGCAGGGGAGGCGGGAAGGGAGCCAGCCCGGCAGCGGGGTGGACGGGAAGCCGACGGGTGGCGCTGGAGCGGAGAAGGGGGCGGGGGTGAGGCGGGCGGGCCGAGGCCGGAGGCGCCGCCGTCTGAAGGGACCTGTTGCTACCCCGGGAGGAGCGGGGACGCCGAGGCCTGGGGCGCCTCCTGAAGGCGGCAGAGGGTTCGCTGCACCCCGAGGCCCCTCTCAGCCCCGTGTCCCCCAGGCCCTTCCTGTGGAAATGGCCGCGCTCTTGACTCACACCTTCACTGGGGCGCCTCCTTGCCTGGGACCCAGCCGGGGAGCCCCGGAAACCCACTGCGCCTCCCCGCTCCCTGAACAGGCCGCCTCTCCTCGCTGGGCGGGGAGCGCTGCCCGGGAGCCGGCGGGCGGGGACCGCAGAGCCGGGGACACAGACCCTGGACCGAGTGCGGCGCCCCGGGCGGGGGCTCAGCGGGTGGCGGGGTCCAGGTTCCCTTCCAGTCGGCGCACCTGCCCGGTTTCGGGCCCATCCCCAGTGCCAGCCCATCAATGATGTTTCTATCCGCCCCCCCCCCCCAAAAAAAACAACTTTTTTTTAAAGACAAGAAAGCTAAACACTTTAAATCAAAAGGAAGTCGCCGAAACCGGTTTGGCTCAGTGGATAGAGCGTCGGCCTGCGGACTGAAGGGTCCCAGGTTCGATTCCGGTCAAGGGCATGTGCCTGGGTTGCGGGCATATCCCCAGTGGGGGGTGTGCAGGAGGCAGCTGATCGATGTTTCTCTCTCATCGATGTTTCTAACTCTCTATCTCTCTCCCTTCCTCTCTGTAGAAAATCAATAAAATATATTTAAAAAAAAAAAAAAGGAAGTTAGATCTGGAACTAGGGGAGCACATGCTATAGAAATGACTCCTCCCATCAGCAGAGACAAGTGGAAGACAAGCGGGTTTGTCTTGTAGATGAGTGATAATGGCCTTAAATTATGGTCTGAATCTAGACAGGAGGAGGAGGGGTTTCTGCTAATGTGGGTAGAAGAAAAAACTCGGCCCTGGCTGGTGTGTCCCAGTGGATAGAGCGTCGGCCTGGGGACGGAAGGATCTCGGGTTTGAGTCCAGTCAAGGGCACGTGCCAGGGTTGTGGGCTCGATCCCCAATGGGGGGCATGCAGGAGGCAGTCGATCAATGATTCCCTCTCATCGATGTTTCTATCTCGCTCCCTCTTGGAAACATTATATATATATATTAAAAAAAGAAAAAACTTGGGCTGTCAAAGAAATAAGTAAACCTGAGTCAGGAATCTAACATTCAATTCACCTTCTTAAAATATGTAGTAAGTCTGTGCTGATCTAAGGACCTGAAATATAATAATTAAAAACAATCATATATTTTTAAATCTGTGGATACTTGGAAAGTTTTGCTCCATTGTCTTAATTTAGATCCCAAGTATTTTCCCCCTCTAATTTAATAGTAAATCTTTTCTGAGTATCTATTAGGTGCCATGTACAATTTATAGATTCTGGGAACATAGCAGTGAACAAAACAGACAAAAATTCCTGTTCTCAAAAAGGTTAACATTATATTCCAGCAGGCCTGGGTGTGCTTGCTGATGTAAAACAAGATAAATTAAAATATATAGTGTATTAGAATGGTGATGTACTGTGGAGAAAAAGCAAGGGAGAGATATAGTGGTTGTTGAGGTATGATTTTAATAAATAATCGAGAGAACACCTAAAGGAGGTGGGGAGGCCTATGATGTTGATATTTGAGCGAGGAGTGAACCAAGTGGAGGGAACAGGGAGTTGAAGTTGGGGTGTGCCCAGCAAGGGGGAGCAGCAGTGAGAAGCCCCATAAAGGGTGTGGGATTGAGCACAGATGAGAGGCAAAGCTAAGGGGAGACTGCAGAGGGCACGGAAGGCGATCGGGAGCACGCTGCCTTGTGTGTTCAGGAGGGTAAAGCAGTGGAGCAGTTGAGCAAAGGGATAACCTGACTTAAGGTTCGAGGGACTGACTGCTTTGTAGAGAAGAGAATGTGAAGTGGGATAAGGGGAAACCAGGGGGACAGTTTGGAGGTCATTGCAGCTGTCTGAGCTGGTGGCAGTAGAGTAGGGGTGTCAGGTTTAGCAAATAAAAGTATAGGCCACCCGTTTGGTAAAGTACATGATAGTCTAACCACTGTGCTGTACACCTGAAACCAATACAAAATTATATTGAAAATTATAACTGAAAAATTTAAAAAATATAGGAACCTAGTTAAATTTGAATTTCAGGTAAACAATTATATATAGTATACTAGTGGCCCGGTGCACGAATTCGTGCACATTGAAAGGAAAATAATTAAAATATTTTAATATCGCTATTTGCCTTTTATAATAGAAGTGTCAATCAAATTCATGATTGACAGTGACAGATGGAAACACGTGTGTGATTGGCGCCAGCAAGAGCTTGATATGTATCGCACATGCGCGAGTCAGCTTAGCCTTTTATAGTTATAGAACAAACTTGCTTAATTAGACCTGCTTTATGATTTAGCTAAACTTTTTCCAGCCCAGTGAAGCACCCCAACTTCTCTTTTAGGTAATTGTCAGCAACACAGCAGTAAATATCAACACAAAGCTTATTATTGTAGATCACGCAGGGAGAACAAAGGGTGAAATATTTAACTGCAGCCGTGTTTGATTATATTCTGTGCAGTGAGACCTGAAGTCATTTTCAAGGTCTGCCATTTCTTCTTTTCAGTCGGGTCAAGTTTCTAAGCTTTCTAAATCTCCGTTTTCCGGCTAATGAAAAGAAAATAGGTTTCTACCGAGTCTCCTATCTACTCCAGGACTTCTGTGAGGATCAAATGAGATGAGGCATGGGAAAACACTTCACAGACATTTGGATAAAGTGTAAAATGTTTGCACCTGGCTATAAAGCAAGTGGTGTTCCTGGGCTGAAGAAATTCCAAGGAGGCTAGTCGCTAGGGAGAGGAAGCCAGGCGTTGCTATGTGACATCATTACCCAGATGGAGGGAAGGACACACCATATTAGCCTTTTATATAGATACTTTCTAAATTAAAAAATTTTTCTTGTTAATCCTCACCTGAGGATAATTTTCCATTGCTTTTCGGAGTGTGGGAGGGAGGAAGCAGGTGGAAGAGAGAGAAACACATAGAGATATATCGAATGGTTGCCTCCTAAGCAGGTATGTACCCTTGACTGGAATCGAACCCGAGACCCTTCAGTCCAAGGGCTGATGTGCTAACAGCCAAAGCACCTAGGGCTCTTCTGCCCAATTTTAATCATTTGGCATTTGTTTTTTTGGTATTGATTTGTACACCCCCTGGTGGGGATTGAGCTGCAACCCAGGCATGTGCCCTTGACCAGAATCGAACTCGGGATCCTTCAGTCCACAGGCCAACACTCTATCCACTGAGCCAAACTAGCTAGGGCTATATAAATTCTTTATACATTTTGGATATTAAACTTTTATTAGATATGTGATTTACAAATATTTTCTCCCATTCTGTAGATTGCCTTTTATTTTGTAATGTCTCCTCTTTCATTTATAAATTTATTTGAGGATAAAGATACCTGTCTCACAAAATCATTAACCTTGTATCTTGCAATGTACCTAGCACTGCACCTGGCATATAGCTGGGCTGTGTAGATGTATTTTGCAATGTGTCTAGTGCTGTGCCTGGCACATACTTGATCCTGTGGTGTATACTTCACATTCTTGCAAAAGAAGTGGTTATAAACACCCAAATTCGTGTTTTCCTAGAAGATTAGGAAAC